AAAAAAAAAAAAAATTGTAAATAGGTAGTGTAGGTTGGTGTTTGATTTTATTTCTATTTTATTATTATTATTTTTTTTATTTTTATATATATTTCATGTTAGTTTTGATTTATTCAAAAACATAAAAAAAAATTAAAAATAAAAAAAAAAAAAGTAAAAATAAAAAGTACTAGTTAGTATAAATTGATAAGTGATTTTATTTTAATTTTATTTATTATTATTATTATTTTTATATTTTATCAATTTTTATTTTAGTGTATATATTCTTTTTAGTTTTGTTAAGAAAAAACATTTAAAAAAAAAAAAAAAAAAGATCGGTCCCATTTTACTTGTATTTTTCCTTCTCATTAAACAGTGAAGGGGACATTTTTTTGCCTAAAATTGTCGATCCCCTATCAAAGCAGATCGATCACCCCTTAGCCCGTGAAACCACGAAGACATTCCTCTTCTCTGTTCCTTGAAATTCTGCTTCTTCCCCCAAAAATCTCTAAACCCAATTTCATCGTCTAACCCTCACGGTTCGCTCCTCTCTTTCGCGGTGTGGCAGGCCTTCAATTCCGGCGGCTTTGTTTTCCTTTTTAAAACGTTGTTGGGTGCGATTACAAGGGTGGGGTTGCCGTTCCTAAAAAACAGCAGCGCCGACGTTTAAGTTTTCTCCGATCGCATCTGGTTCATTTTCCGGCGAGCTTCCCAGCGATTCGCGGCTGTTCGCGAATCAGCTGTTCTTTCGGCGATTTTGATTTGGCCGACGGTTTTTGAGTTTATGAATCGCCGTTTTCCTTCCGGCGATTTTTATTTGGTTTTCCCCAGCGATTCCGACGGCTGGTTTCGCCGGCGGTCAAGGCTGGTTCTTCGACTTGGTTGCTGGGCTCTTCTCGCAGGTGCTTCTCTTCCAGCGACGTCATCTGGGTCGCTTTTCTTCGCCGTTATCTGGGTCATTCTCCGGCGTTGCGGCTTGGCTGCTGGGTCTCGCCGGCAATTCTTGGACTGGGTTTACCCAGCGCTGCCGATTGTCTTCTCCGGCGAGCTTGTGATGTTTCAAAAAATAAATAAATAAATATAAAAATAATTAAATAAATAAAATAATAATAATAATAATAATAAATTAAATAAAAAATATACATAAAAAAAATTTAAATAATAAAAAATAAAAATAAAAAATTTTGAATTGATTTATTTTAAATAAAAAATAAAATAAAATAAAAAAATTTCACTAGCATTCCGTCTTGCTAGAGACGTTAAACTTAGCCCATTTTTCTTATTTTTGTTTATTTATTTTATTTTGTTGGTTGTATATACATGTTCTTTTCCTTTGTTTCTTTAAAAAAAAAAAATGTGTTACCAGTATGCCTTTATGTTTGGTTATGACTGTTTTTATCTTTTATCAAGGGCATTCATCTCATATTTCTTTGCCTCTTATTATATATTGTTTTAAACTGTATGCATTGCTTATTTCATATGTATTCGATGTGAGTTTGCTAGTATGGTTATACAGTTAGGTTTTTGCATCCAAGTTTGGGGGAGACATCTTTCCTACTGGATCATTGCCGGACTTCATAGTCTTTGCCATTACGGTATACTTTTTCCATCATTTTTCATTGTTCTCATTGCACATTGAGGACAATGTACAGTTTAAGTTTGGGGGTAAAGTCATCATGATTCATTCTATTTAAGTTAAGCTTTAAATGCATGATGAGATTTGAGATGTGTTTGGCAATGATTTCGAACATTTAAAGTATAGTTCCTTTGAAAAGCAAGTTGTTAGGGTCTAATACTTCTTCTATACTCTAGGATGCCATTTAGGGGTAAATTTTTAATTTTTGATATCATGTTTGCTCTTGTGGTACACATCATCTTGTTGGTTGAAAATGCTTTAAGAGTTGATTCTAGAATTCTACACTTGCACTTGCGCACACTAGCATTCAATTTGTGGGGTACATGCTTAGTTGATTATTGTCTTGGTTTATCCCAATTGAGCTAGTATGCTTTGAAAACTTTCATTCTTGATAAAATGACCTTGTGAAGAAAAGAAATAAAAGCACTCACCAAAGGTGAGGAATAAAAAAAAAAAAAACTGCATTCTTTCAACATGTCAACTGATTAAAAAGGAAGACAAGGAAAGAATGTAAGATGTATGATTAGTTTGAGTTCGTAGCCTAGCCATTCCGAGTCATTACGCCCTTAGGAGTGTCTTTACACTTAACGCCCTAAGACCATCTGGTTTGGGAGTTGTTGGCTCAACGCTTGTTACATGGGGTGATTAGAGAACTTAAGGAACTTGAATATTACATATGGTCATACATATAAAAAAATAAAAAATAAAAAAAAAAAAACGTTTGTTTGAATAACAAGGTTCATTCAATGTCTTGATATCTGGTACTATATCTGTATGTTAGTTTGAGGGTAAGGCTACGCCATTACTTTGATTTGCTAGGATAGCAACACATTTTTATGCCGATTCACTCAAAAAGGATGATAGAATTGATTCAATTTGTATGATTAACTTGCTTGATGTGTGGAGGACCATTTTTGCTTACATGATGTTGAAATGTTGAGAATAACTTAGAAATGGTAGAAATTTGCATACTTGAAGTAGTTTACTTTCAACACTTATTTAATATGTGTCGTTACTTCTCAAGTAAGAAAGAGCTTTTAATGTTTGTGGGTACCATTTCTGGAAACCCTCACGAGACTTCACTCGCCCACTAGGGGTAACCTAGGGGTTTAAAAGGCTTGTTGCATATGCTAAATGTAACCGTGATCCCTACGAAAGTGGTGTTATCTTTATTTGCTTTATTAGTTCATAGTTGTATATATATTTGTTTCATTTCCATGCTTTAGTTCATTGCTAGGGACTAGCAATATCTAAGTTTGGGGCCGTGATAAGTGCTTAAATGTTGTACATTTCAGCACCTAAATTAGGGTATTTTAGTCTTTGCATCTATCTTAATTTCATATTTTAATCCTAATTTATGTTTATGTGTATTTCAGGGCAATAAAGTTAAAATGAGCTAAAAACGGTCCACTAAATCCGTTTTGGAGTCAAGCAAAGATATTCAGAAAAAGTTCAGAAAATGACAAAAAGGAGGTCGCAGCCCATTGCTCGTATAGTGTGTTTATTCTTCAAAAGCAGTCAATCTCAGGCCTTTGATGATGTTCCAAAAGATGAAGAAGCAAACCAATGAGCTCGGGGCCAAAATGGAGCTAAATAGGGCTTAAAGGAAATTTCCAACTTTTGGGGGATCGATCCCCCAAGGTGGGGGATCAATCCCCCAGGACTTGGCAACATTACAGATTTTTCTTATTGTTTGGGCTTATTTTGTGAACTATTGGGCTTTAATAGGGTTATTACTTAAGGCCCAGTGAGCCATTAGTTTAAGGTTAGTTTTTATTTTATTTAGGAGAGAGTTTAATTATTTTATTAGGAAGTTTTTTTTTTATTAAGGATTTTTTTTTTATTCTGTACCGTGATATCACGTTCTCTCTGGGAAAAAGGAAAAGTTAGGGTTTGAAGAACATTTTTACAGAGGTTTTGTCTACAATTGAAGGAAGAAAAAGAAGGAGCCAAAAGATGGAGATGGAGCTTGTTGACACCATGATCATCTTCTCCATGAGCTAGTTCTTCACTTAGGGTTTGGATGAGCCCTAAGTTCATGTAACCCTAACCTTTGTATTTCTTTTCTTGGGGAATTATTATGTTGTAATTAAATTATATGGCCTTGTAATTTCTTTATATATACATGCTTGATTTAATAAATTAAGGTTTGTATTGATGAATTCTTCCATTGAAATCTCCAATTGATTGTATGTCTATGTATGATTAATTAAGTATTTTATTCTTCATTAGATGATTAGAACTTAATTCTTTCATTAATTCTATATGTAATTTGCATGTCTATGTGTGATTGCTTTAGGATTATATTCTATATTAAATACTTCTTGTAGTTGTGTTTAGTGGTGGCCATAACATGATACTTATTTGATACAATTGTCAATTAATTTGATGGATAAAGGTTTAATCTTGATGAGTTGTTCTACAAATTAGTTTTCTTGTTATTAGTTAATTGTAGTTAAGTAGGCAATTTGTGCTTGATTATGTTAATCCATGCTTCTAATTACAATTAGTATTATTCTCTTGATTGATGTGTGCTCTTATTTGATACATTTGTGAATGTGTATGGTGGGTTATGACGTAATCTTGAATGGGTTCTACACTTTAATTTAATTGTCATTAAGTAGACAACTCATTCTTGATGTTATAATATATGCTTACACTTGTGATTTGTGATGATAATATGGCTACATCTATAATTACACTAATGATTTCCCCATTAATTGAAAGTAAATGGTTAATTACATGAGCTTAGTGGTGAATCCTAACCCTAAGACTCTCTTCATATCTCTTTAATTCTTAGTTTAATTTAATTTAATTTACTTGCATTGTCATTTCTATTTCAATGTTTTCGATTTAACTCTAGTTTAATCACTTCACCAAAAATCTTTTTTTTTTTTTCTCTCTCTCTCTCTTGTGCAATCTCATTAGCACTAAAATCACGTTTAATCCCAACACGTGTTCAATCCCTTGGGTTCGATCCCTACTCGTTTCATACTACATAGTATAAGTGTTTAGTGGTTTTATAAATTTTAAAATATGATGCCCACTTGACATTATTTCTAAACCTAAAGTGTTGTGCATTATTTTGTGCACATGCTCGAGTCGCATCACATATTTCTTTTTTTCTCCCTCTTTCTTATTAATCAACCCTATATTAAGTAGGTTTGTAAAAATTATGTGGGATGGAGGCATGACATTAGTTGATTGTTATTGGGGATATATTTTTACACAAAAATTATAAAATAACCGCTGATGTTAAAAATAAATAATCTAAATTTTTTGTATAAATATATTATAATCAGATTTACAAAACAAAACAAAACAAAACACTATTCCTGATACTTTCATTGCTCAGTTCAATGTTATTCCTTTTAATGAAGAGATCATGAAGTGTTTTTTCTCCCTCAAGAACAACAAATCTCCGGGCCCTGATGGGTATAATGCCTACTTTTATAAAAAGGCTTGGTCTGTCATTGGTGAAGACACCACTAAGGCTATTAAGGAGTTCTTTTCAATTGGTCATTTACTCAAGGAGATAAATGTTACCTATCTTGCTCTTATTCCTAAAGTGCAGAACCCCAATTGCATGAGAGACTTTAGACCCATTGCCTGTTGTAATACCATTTACAAAGTCATCTCCAAGCTTTTGGCAAACAAACTCAAACCAGTTCTTCTTTATTTATTAGACAAATGCCAAATAGCCTTTATCAAGGATAAAAGACTTAAGGACAGTGTTCTCTTGGCTCAGGAATTGATGAAAGGGTATCATATTAGTTCCAACAGTCCTAGATGTACTTTGAAAGTTGATCTACGGAAGGCTTATGACACTGTGAATTGGACTTTCTTGTTAAACACTCTCCATATTCTCAAATTTTCAGCAAATTTTGTTAATTAGATTAGGGCTTATATTACATCTCCTGGTTTTTCAGTATCTATTAATGGTGAACTTCATGGTTTCTTCAAGGGTACTAGAGGCCTGAGGCAAGGTGACCCTCTGTCATTCTTCCTCTTTGTTATAGTTATGGATGTTTTATCCTCTATTACGCATCAGAACATTGCCAATGATCCTCTTTTCAGTTACCACTGGAAATGCAAGAAAACTAAACTCTCTCACCTTATGTTTGCTGATGACCTCATGTTTTACTGTCATGGTGACATTCAGTCCCTCTCTACTATAACTAAGTCTATTACTACCTTTTAAGAGTTGTCTGGACTCTTCCCTAACCTATCTAAGAGCTTGTTGTTTACTGCCAGTGTCCCTGAGGATATCCAACAGCTCATGACAAATTTGTGTGGTTTTGAAGTGGGAAACCTTCCTATTAGATATCTTGGTATGCCCTTAAGCTCTAAAAGACTCAATGCTAATGACTGCAGAATTCTAGTTGAAAGGGACAGGTAGAATTATATGTTGGACTGCCAGATTCCTATCATATGTAGGAAGATTGCAGCTTATAAAATCCATCCTTGTTAATATGATTGGGTTCTGGTGCAGCCTTACTATCCTCCCTAAGATGGTGATAAATCAGCTCAACACTGTCCTTAGGAATTTTCTTTGGACAGGGGTTGAATTGAAAGCTTCTAGAGCTCAGGTTGCTTGGTGGAATGTATGCAAACCAAAAGATTTTTTGGGAGTAGGCATACCTCAATTAGCTACTTTAAACCGAATATCCATGCTCAGGCATTTATGGAACTTGTTCAAAGACAGAGGCCAATCAATTTGGTTCCAGTAGGCTCATGTTAATCTTATAAAAAATAGAAGTTTTTGGATCTTGGAGCCTCCACAGGTGTGCTCTTGGAATTGGAAAATGCTTCTCCACCTTAGAGATTTGGCCAGACCTTTTATCAAACATGTGGTTGGGGATGGAAAGGATGTTTCAATCTGGCATGATTACTGGCTTCCATTAGGTCCCCTTGACACTAGAGTTGATCATAATCTCATCGCTTGTTCCCAGTGGGAAGATTGGGCAAAGGTTCAATGTTTTATTAGGCATGAGCAGTGGAGAATTCCTACTTTGTTCAAAGAAATCATTCCTTCCATAGGCACCACAGAGCAGCTTCCTATCTTGAATGCAGGTTCACATGACTCTGTCACTTGGACCTTTTCCCTTACTGGCAGCTTCCATCTAGCTACCACTTACAGAGCTCTTATCTCTCTATCACCGACCATCTTATGGCACTCTGTTATTTGGTTTTCAAATCATATCCCGAGGTATTCATTCATTGCTTGGGTTGCTCTCACTCACAAACTCAAGACTAGAGACAGCCCAGCCCTGGCAAAGAAAATCGTTCCAAATTACTGCTCTCTGTGCCTTGCTGATGCTAAGAGTCATCAACACCTTTACTTCAAATGTAGTTTTGCTTCGGAGGTGTGGATGCTTTTCCAAAACCTATGTGGGATTTATGTTGGGGATTCTAACTTATATGACATTACCAACTGGATCGTGTCTATGTGGAAGAATGGAACTAAAGCTCCAGATGCTTATGTATACAAGCTCTGCCTTACTACAACTGTCTACTTCATATGGAACGAGAGAAATAGGCGACATGCCATGAATCAAGTTGCCTCTGTTGCTTCAGTTACTAAGCTGATCTACACTGATGTTAGGATCCGTCTCATGTCCTGCAAGCTGCGTGATTCGAAGGCTGCGAGATCTATTGCAGCTGCTTGGAGTTTGCCAAGTTCAGTTTTTTGTGAGGGGCAATAGTGTGTCTTGCTGATTTCTCGTCGCTGCTGCATCTGTCTTCTCTAGTTGCAGTAGCAACGGGTTTTTTTGGTTTTGGTTTTAATATTTGTTGCCTGGCTAGGCCTTTTTTTGGCTTTATGGTTTTGTTGATTTCGGGCCTTGGACTTTAGTCCCCCCTGTACAAAAAAAAACAATTACAGATGCTCTGATACCTGTAATTTAAATTCAAATACGTGTAAGAGTTTGCAAACGTGCAAAGAGTCCAAACTAAACAAACACATTGATTCGTTTAAACAAAACAAAAAAATCTGTTTCTTCCCACCTATCGTTGCTCAATGTCAATTAATGAGTTGAAATTATGTAAAGTACGGAGACAAATGACAATACAATGTACCACACATCAAAAACAAGTCCGGATTCACTTTCAGACCAGGATTTACGCAAATGGGAATCTCGCTCTCTCTCTAAAACAAATGCTCAACAATGTGATTAAAAAGTCACCCTCCCTCTAAACACAAAAATACACACACACTCACTCTCTCTCTCTCTCATTGTCTCTAAAATTGAATTCAATGGATCAAATAGAGCACAAGTACATCGACGTGAATGGAATGAAGCTCCACGTTGCCGAGATCGGAACTGGCCCATCGGTGGTGGTGTTCCTGCACGGCTTCCCGGAGATATGGTACACTTGGCGGCACCAGATGATTGCCGTAGCCAATGCCGGCTTCAGAGCTCTCGCACCCGATTACAGAGGGTACGGACTATCCGATCCACCGCCCGAACCAGAGAAGGCCTCCTTCTCTGACCTAATTACCGATCTACTTGCCATTGTTGATGCTCTCAGCATTCCCAAGGTACTTCCAACTCTTCCCACTTCTTCTGAAAATTCATCCACTAAATTAATTTTTTTTTTCCTGTTTGGTTTCCGAGACAGCTCAGTAAAATATGAACAAAAAGTGGGTTGCTTGAATCATATTTTAGCTGGAAAAATGTTTTAGCTTTTTAAATGAAGTATAACTTCTTTTTGGGGGTCAAAAATTGCAGCCACTTTGATCTAAGGTTTCTCTGGATAATCCCATTCCATGATTGGTAGGATTTAGTTTTATTGGGGTTGCAACTTCTTTCTTTTTTTTTTTTTCCCCCTAGTTGGATTGCACTTTTTGTTAATTAGAGAGCATTTAAGGTGAATTTATCAATTAGATGCTCTAAATTTCTGTAGAAGAACTAATCAACCTTTGTCCTAGTGGCTTTGGGTCTTAATTTACATGATGTTTCTTCTGGTGTGCTATGTAATAGTGACAATAATAAATTTCTTTGTTAATCTGCTAAAATCAGATTTCATCTTTGGACTCGCTCAATTAATTTGACTACTAAACATACGATCTAATGACAAGTTTTTCTAGGAATTAAGTTGTAATCCATATTGCATAAACTCTTAAAAAATACACAGAAAGTACCAGTGTTCAAGACACAACAATTTGACATGGGTATAGTTTAGGTATCTAACAGGTATGGGTGGATGTGCTCATAACAAACATACTCAAGAATCTAAATTTTTCATAGACATATATATAAAACTCCTTTATTTTGTTCGTTTTACTTCAAATAAGTGAGATCAATTATTTAATTCTAAAAAGATAAATAATATGAACTTTTAACCTAGTCCTTTGTCCTTGACTGCTTGGTTTGGAGATTTGATAGATTTGATGCTTAGACACATATAGGCACCTGATACATCATCAAATCCATGTAAAATATGTTGTCTTCTTGCTGACTCTTTGGACTGTGTTCGGATTTAATAGCTCTTTTTTTTGGCAAGCTTTAGTAGAGAGGGTTTGTGGTAGTTTATAGTGGGTTTATATTCGGAATGGCTCTTACAATATCAATGAACAATTGCTAAATCACTCCTCTAAACAATACTACTTTTCCGTTCTTGACTTATTTTTCTCTATAAGGTTATATAGCCTTGGTATAAAATGAGGTGGCATTCTGCTTTGCATTCCTATGAAACTTTGTGAACAAAGAAACTGAGCTTTGGATGTTTTTTGTATATGGATGGTCTGTTATAGATGTAGTAAGCCTTATCAAGTACTAGTTACCTAGCTTGACCAAAAAATTAAAGTATTTTTTAAGGTCAAGTAGCATTAAACTCCTAACTCTATGTCTCTATGCAGGTTTTTCTTATTGGTAAAGATTTTGGAGCCTATCCAGCTTATCAATTTGCCATACTCCACCCAAAGAGGGTATCGGGAGTTGTAACATTGGGTGTGCCATGCATGCCCCCAAGTCCGCCTACATTCCATAACTACCTTCCTGAAGGCTTCTACATGTCGAGATGGAAGGTGAGAATTAAGTAATGTTCTTCATATTTGTTTAGTAACGAGGAACCAATTTTAACTACTTTCCATCAACTTCATTTTCATTATCTTCATTGAAGGAACCTGGACGAGCTGAAGCAGATTTTGGTCGCCTTGACGCTAAAACAGTTGTGCGGAACATTTACATCCTCTTCTCCAAAAGTGAAATACCAATAGCAGGGGAAAACCAGGAGATCATGGATTTGGTGGAACCATCAACTCCTCTACCCCCTTGGTTCACTGAAGAAGATCTTGCAGTGTATGGAGCTTTGTATGAGAAATCTGGATTCCAAACTGCATTGCAAGTTCCATATAGGTAATGGGTTTGATCCATTTTTCGAAACAAGTGCTCGTCCTTTTGGTATGAAGCAAGCTTTTGTTTACAATGATAACAGCTACTAATCCAGAACCCATAGAGTGTGTGATGCATCATGTCATAGATTTGCATCTTATTAGTCCACTTTTAATTTCGGTATAAACCACAGCAATCTGTGTTCCATGATGTGAAAAGGTTGAATTGCAGCTTTTATTAGAGGGGTTTTGTAACTTTGTGTAGCTGACTTCTAACTGCCTGCTTTCTAATAAATAAGTTTGTTAATGATGTTACTTTTTTTTTTCCTCTCCCAATTATAGGTCATTAAATAACAGATTTGAAGTAGCAGATCCGAAAGTTGAAGCCCCAGCCTTGCTGATCATGGGTGAGAAAGATTATGTCTTCAAATTTCCGGGAATGGAAGAGTACACAAGGAGTGGACAGGTGAAAGTTTATGTTCCGAAATTGGAGATAACATACTTGCCTGAAGGAACACATTTTGTTCACGAGCAATTCCCTGACCAAGTGAATCACCTCATCCTCACCTTCCTCGGTAACCATAGCTGATCACGAACCTTTAAGAAAGATTTTTCATTGTTGAAGATTGCTGAAAGGTTGGTTGGGATTGTGAGAAACTTGGAAGGCATAAAAACTTATATTTACCTTATGCGAATAAATAACTGTAGTGTGCCACTATCGAGCAAAGACCTATTTTGCATTTTCTCTCTCGCTTGTAATTGTGTTTCAAGTGTGTTTTTGCAGCCAAATTCAAGAGAGAAATGCCTGTAATAATGAATGCCGGTTTCTATGCATTTTGCTGGGTGATTATGGGATTGAAAATTCACTTTCATTTTATGCGATGTTTTGTTTCAATATAGTCATCATTTTTCAGAAGAATAGTGATTTTCTGCAAAATTGTAATTACTTCATAACAAAGATATCAAGTTGGGTGAAGTGTTCACAATTAGGGGTGCACAAAAAAAACCGACAACTCGAAAAATCAAACCGGACCAAGCTGAATCAGGTGGTCTGTGCCGGTTCCATTGCAGTTCGGTTCAATCACGGTTCTAAAATAATGGAATCGTGAATTTTTTTTTTGGTTCTGAATTAAGTGTAACGGTTGGGCGCTTACTCACTGACACAAAAGCTAAAATTATTGGATGGTGCTACATACTCATTTATTTATATTCATTTCATCTCTCATTCGGATCCAATGCGGGACACCTCTAAGACCACGTGGTTAGGGCCCTAGGGATGACAATTTCCTTTACGTCGCCCCTAATGGACAGATATAGTAAGGTTCTACATTGAGTAGGGGCGGATATGGTAATAAAAATAAAAAATCGTCTAAAGTTTGTAGCAGGGCGGATTTAATGTTTAACTCACCCACCCCGAACTCGATTATATTTGTTTCTTTATTTTTTATTTCTCATTTTCATGTTAGAGATGTTTATTTATTCATTGTTTTATATTTTTACATTTCTCAATGAGGCATTAATTTTTATTTTCTGCTCCAAATTTTACTTCTGATTTTGTTGATAAGCGACTCACATCTATTTATTTACCTAGGGAAGAAACGGGGTGGAGTTCGTACTCCGAGGCCCCATATAATTTAGACATATGCCTAAAATTTTAAAATTTTTAAATATAGTCATTACTCATTTTCTTACTGGTTAAATTGAACCCAAATCTTTTTTTTTTTTTTTTTCCCAAAACAATCACGATTATTTTTATACCCAAACTCCATCTAAAATTGGAAAAGTACATATAGATTAACGTATTACTGGGTACAGGAGCTTAAAATATTACATGAAAAATTTAATGTTAGCCTAAAATATTATATGAAAATTTAATGTTAACCTATATGAATAGAGTTTTTCTAGTAGGTCTATTTTTGGTCAAAGTTAAATTTACATTTTTCATCCCTCCCAACTCCCAAGTACACACCTTCAATTCAGTTGATATGGCCAGCGGTTTGGGCTTTTTTTTTTTTTTTTTTAATCTGTGAATATTATAAAAAGAAATATTAGAATTCTATTGATGCACAAAATTGTAGGGGGAGAGAGGGGAAGAGAGAGAAAAGAGTCACCCTTTTAGGGATTCAAAAACATTTAAAAATGGAAAAGAAAAAAAAAATTAGGTTCCGGTTTAACCCATAAGAAATTAGATAATGACCATTATTAAAAAAAAAAATAACATACTCAGAATACTAGGAGCGAATTATTTAGTCAAATAATTTTTTAATTAATTATTTATATTAAATACAACTTAATGCAAAGTTTTATTTTTTTTATTTGTTGCATAATTGATAATTCACTGCAATTACAATCATTTTTCTTAAAAAAAATTTTAAAAATTTAAACATATATTTAAATTGTATTGAATCACAATCATTGAGAGATTGCAAACCTGCAAATTGTTAAGAGTCCAAACTAAACGAACAGATTGATTCGTTTAAACAAAAAAATATATATATATATGTTTTTTCCCAAATGACAAATGACAATACAAGGTACCACCACCACACACACATCAATTCGGTGCCGAACAGAAACAAAAACAAAGTCACCCACCTTCTAATTTCTAAACACAAAAATACAACCCCCATCTCGCTCACTGTCTCTCTAAAATTGAATTCAATGGATCAAATAGAGCACAAGTACATCGACGTGAATGGAATGAAGCTCCACGTTGCCGAGATCGGAACTGGCCCATCGGTGGTGGTGTTCCTGCACGGCTTCCCGGAGATATGGTACACTTGGCGGCACCAGATGATTGCCGTAGCCAATGCCGGCTTCAGAGCTCTCGCACCCGATTACAGAGGGTACGGACTATCCGATCCACCGCCCGAACCAGAGGAGGTTGATTTAATTCTCAATTTATATATATATATATATATATATAGCAAATAGCAAATAAATTTCAAGAAAAAAACTCTAGATTTATATTGGAAAAAAAAAAAGGCATTATTTCTGGTTATGCCCCTTTAATAAATCTATATAATATGAAAATAAAAAAAAAACCAAATAAATGAATGCACAATATAATTCTGAAATATATATATATAGCAAATAAATTTTAAGAAAAAAAACCTAAATTTATATTGGAAAAAAAACCATTACAATAACATGTACTCTTCTTCTTATTCATATTCTTTTATTTACCCGTCATTATAATATTATATATAATTTGTATCATAATATAATGGTATATATAATATGTATCATTAAATATTATTTAAATATATTTTCATTTCCATGTAGCCTTAAGACCAATATAAATCTAGGTTTTTTTTCTTGAAATTTATTTGCTATATATATATATATATATATTTGAGATTTATATTGTGCATTTATTTATTTGATTTTTATTATTTTTCATTTTATATAGATTTATTAAAGGGACACTATCAGAAATAATGTCTAATTTTTTTTTTCTAATATAAATCTTGGTTTTTTTTTTCTTGGAATTTATTTGCTTTTTTTTCTTGGAATTTATTTGCTATATATATATATATATATATATATATATATATATATTTGAGAATTATATCACCTCCCTCTAATAGTTAGTTAACGGAAATTAGTTAAATCACCCCCCTCTAATAAATGAGGGGAGTTTTTTTGATAAAAAAAAAAAAAAAAAAAAAAACTAGAAAATAGGAGTTTAGTGAAAAAAACGTATAGAAAAGAGGGGTTTAATATAATTCACCCTTTATTATATATATATAAATAAATATTAAAAAAAAAAAAAAGGAATTATCACATGAAAAATAATTCCAAATTATCACATGAAAATAATTCCACCCATCCTCGGTTCCTCAACCATTGTCAATTGGGACCCAAATAGAAATGAAGACAAAGTCCCGCATCACTTGCAGACTAGATTTACTCAAATGGGAATCTCTCACTGTCACTCTCCCTCCGTCTCACACTCTCTCTCTCTCTAAAACAAATGCTGAGCAAGGTGATCAAAAAGTCAACCACCTGCTAAACACAAAAGAGACCTCTCTCTCTCTCAGAAAATTGAATACAATGGATCAAATACAACACAAATACGTCGACGTGAATGGTATGAAGCTCCACGTTGCCGAGATCGGAACTGGCCCATCGGTGGTGGTCTTCCTGCACGGCTTCCCGGAGATATGGTACAGTTGGCGGCACCAGATGATTGCCGTGGCCAATGCTGGTTTCAGAGCGCTCGCACCCGATTGCAGAGGGTACGGACTATCCGATCCACCGCCCGAACCAGAGAAGTCCTCCTTCTCTGACCTCATCACCGACCTACTTGCCATTATTGATGCTCTCAGCATTCCCAAGGTACTTCCAACTCTTCAATTTGCAGATGATGGAAAATGATTTTAAGCCTATGTGCATTTGTCTACTAGCCTAAGGGTTTTTATGCCTTTGATATGCTGATAAGAGAATTTATTCCCTTCGTCAAAAATTAGCATGAGAAATCGGATTATATCATTACTTGTTGAAAATTTATAATTTTATTTTTCTGTTTGGTTTCCGAGAAAGCTCAGTAAATATAGCTTGAATCTTATTTTAGCTAGAATAATGTTTTAGCTTTTTATATGAAATATAACTTTCTTCTTTTGGTTTTGTTTGGGGGGTCAAAAATTGCAGCCACTTCGATCTAAGGTTTCTCTGGACAATGCCATGATTGGTAGGATTTGGTTTTATTGAGGTTGCACTTTTTGTTAATTAGAGAGAATTTAAGGTGAATTTATCAACTAGGTGCTTTACATTTCTGTAGAAGAAAGAAGTCTGCAGGAAATTATTATTATTATTATTATTTTTTATAGAGATGAATTTTGAAGGGGTGTTTCAGATTTTCTTTTTTTTCTTTTTTCTTTTTTTTCAATTCTGCAAGGGACCTACTTTTCATTTGGAATCAGTTTCAATAATTAATCTTTGAAGATTTAATCAGCAGAAGGGTTGCTTAGAAGTTAGAAACAACTAGTTTGATTTTGGTACATTAATCAGTACATGATGTTCATTCTGCTGTGCTATATCAATATGTGCTTTGTATTTCATGCAAATAATGTGGTTTATGAATCCAAGTTTTTTGGATTTTATTCCAACATCCATTCACCGGCTTTGTTATGAGTTCTATATAATATGGTTACACCAGTTAGGCTTGTTGGAACTCGGAGGTTCTGCCACAAACATCCACCTGACTTGGGACATATTTGGCTGTTTATGCATCAAATAAAGAATAATAATAATAATGACAATAATAATTTTCTTTCAGGTAATCTGTTAAAATAAGATATCATCTTTGGGCTCTGTCAATTTCTTTATCTACTTAGCATTGATCAAATGGCAAGTTTATCTCTTTACTTTTTAATTGAAAATGAATAGATATTAAGTTGTTATCTATGTTGCATGAACTCTTCAAAAATACATGAAGTAACAGTGTTCAAGACATGAGAATTTGACATGTGTATGGAATGCATATCTAGCACGTATGGTTGGACATGCACATAACAAGCATACTCAATAATCTATTTTTTTATATAATTATACGTAAAACTCCTTTATTTGGTTCCTTTTACTTCAAATAAATGAGATCAATTATTTTACTCTAAAAGTTTATATGGTATGAAAATTTAATTTAGTCCTTGTGCCCTTGGTTTGGAGATTTGATAAATCTGATTCTTAGACACATAGGCACCTGATATGTCCTCAAATGCATGTAACATAGGTTGTCTTCTTGCTGACTTTTTGGACTATGTTGGGATTTATCAACCTTGCAGTGGCAAACTCCAGTAGAGGGTTTGTGGTAGCTTGTAGTGGGCTCATATTCGGGATGGTTGTTACAATATCAATGAACAATTGTTGAATCATTTTACAATATCAATGAACAATTGCTGAATCACTCATCTCTAAACAATACTACTTCTCTGTTCTTGACTCATTTTTCTCTATAAGGTTATATAGCCTTGATATAAAATGAGTTGGCATTCTGCTTTGCATTCCTATGAAACATTGTGAAGAAAGAAATGGAGTGTGGGTTGTTTTTTGTACATGGATGGTCTGTTATAGATATAGTAAGCCTCATCAAGTACTCTTTACCTTGACCAAAAAATAAAAAATATTTTGTCAAGGTCAAGTAGCATTAACACTCCCTCTCTCTCTCTCTCTCTCTCTCTCTCTCTCTATATATATATATATATATATATGCAGGTTTTTCTTATTGGTAAAGATTTTGGAGCCTGGCCAGCTTATCAATTTGCCATTCTCTACCCAAAGAGGGTCTTGGGAGTTGTGACATTGGGTATACCATGCATGCCCCCAAGTCCACCTGCATTTCATAAACAACTTCCTGAAGGCTTCTACATTTCAAGATGGAGGGTAAGAAGTAATTTTCTCATATTTGTTCATAAACAAATAACCAGATTTAACTGCTCGCAAATTCATTTTCATTATGTTCACTCAAGGAACCTGGACGAGCTGAAGCAGATTTTGGTCGCCTTGATGTTAAAACGGTTGTGCGGAACATCTACATCCTCTTCGCCAAAAGTGAAATACCAATAGCAGAGGAAAGCCAGGAGATCATGGATTTGGTGGAACCATCAACTCCTCTACCCCCTTGGTTCACAGAGGAAGATCTTGAAGTCTATGGAGCTTTGTATGAGAAATCTGGATTCCGAACCGCATTGCAAGTTCCCTATAGGTAATGGATTTGATCCGTTTTGTAAAACAAGTGATCATCATTCTTTGTATAAGGCAACTGTTATCTTCCTCTACTGTCCTTTTTGTCTACAATCCATTCCCGGAGCAGCCTCCATGATCCCAAGCTGCTTGTTCAAAACTCCAATTTCTCATCTTGGCTGACCTCATAAGGAGGGATTTCCACCAAAGGAAGATGTTACCGGTCTAGTGGTAGTGGCTCAGAAGCTTGGTTCACCCCAGAGCTTGAAATCCCGCCTCGCTGTCTCAGTTGATAACAACTACCAATCCAAAGCCCATGAGTTTGTGATGCATCATGTTCTAGAGTTGCAACCACTGTTTCACCCAATAACAGGGTGTCATCTTAGTAATCCTCTTTTACTGTTCTCAGTATAAATCACAACCACCAGTGTTCCATGGTTATTATTTTTTAATTTTGGTTAGGTAAGTAGTATTCACAAACGCAATTCACACATTGCCCACTACAGTGTCACTCACTTCCCCTTTGAGGGAAGAGAGGTTATACCATTGGACTAATGGCCCATTGGTACCTCTGTTCCCTGACGTGAAAAAGGTAGAATCGCAGCTTTATTTTTTTTTTTTTTTAGGTTTTGTAGCTTTGTATACCTGACTTCTGATTGCCTACTTTGTAATGAATAAGTTTGTTACTGATGTTAGGTTTTCTTTTATAGGTCATTCACTAAAGGAGGGTTTGAAGCACCAGATCCAAAAGTTGAAGCCCCAGCCCTACTGATCATGGGTGAGAAAGATTATGTCTTCAAATTTCCAGGGATGGAAGAGTACATAAGGAATGGACAGGTGAAAGTTTATGTTCCGAAATTGGAGATAACATACTTGCCTGAAGGAACCCATTTTGTTCAAGAGCAATTCCCTGACCAAGTGAATCAGCTCATCCTCACCTTCCTCGGTAACCATAGCTGATCACAAACCTTTAAGAAAGATTTTTCATTGTTGAAGATTGCTGAAAGGTTGGCTGGGATTGTGAAAGACTTGGAAAGCATAAAACCTCCTATTTACCTTATGTGAGTAAACAACCGTACTGTACCATTATCAGGCAAAGACTGGTTTTGCGTTTCCTCTCCCGCTTGTAATTGTGTTTCAAGCAAATAAATTGTGCTTTTGCGGCCAGATTCAAGAGAGAAATGCATGTAATAATGGATAGAGATTTAATTGCATTTTGCTGGGTGACAATGGGATTGAATTCACTACAAAATGACTTTCTTAAAAATGTTTTTTTGGGGCACTTCCAAAGCTCATAATAGGATTGGCAACTGAAAATCCACCAATTCTTCATTTACATACGCAGGCTGCCATGCTTTATTGCATTTCGAGTTTCAACCCAACCTAATAATTTAACAACCTGGAGGTTTTGAGTTAATAGATGGTCTAATGATGAAAACTAGGGGGCACTAGTACTGCTATTTCCATGCTTTATCTTCACGGATAGTACCAGTCAGTGGTGAAGTCACGTAGGGACAAGTGGGGGCAGCTGCCCCCACTGAATTTTTAATTTTTTTAATTTTATATGGAAAGATTTTTATATTTGTATAATTGTCCCCACTAAAAGTTGACATTGTCCATATATATACTATATATATATATATATATATATATAACCAAATGACCATTCATGGTATTATATTAAAAAAAAAAAAAAAAGAATATAATCTTTCCAAAACATATGATATTTTGTTTCCACTTTCTCAAAATATTATATTCTTTCCCACTTTTCTCAAAAATACAAGATATTCTTTCATACTTTTGACTTTATTACAAACAAATGCGTTGTTAATTTTCATCACATTTTCGATCTTCAACATTTCTCTTTCAGCGAGTCTTCAATATTTCAAAAATTCATAAAATTCAAACAAATACTGCAGTTTAGTACTGTTTAATTTTTACATATATTATTTTGGTTCAAATAATATATATATATATATATATATATATATATATATATATATATATCCAGTTGTAACTCATAACAAACACATACCGTGAATAAACATCAAGTTGTTTGACTGTCCCACATGGCCGAATGAGAAGTTGTTGCACTTATATATGTGGATATCTTTTAACTATATACATACGTTTTTAAAAACAGTGAATAGAGAAGTGTGCAAAGCAGACTGCGCAACAAAGATGGATCGTGACTTATGGTATTAGAGCTGATTTTCGGCCGAAAATGAAGGAGCATACAGATGTGTGAATTTCTTATAACTAAAACTACTTTTTATTTCTTTGACAGGAAACACAATCAAACACTTACTTGTCTCTACAGGAATCCGAACTCTCTATTTTCTACTCTTCTATGATTTTTTTTTTTTTTGAATAAAATGAAGAAACATACTTGATTCAGCCTTTCCCTTTATTTCGTTTTTTGGAATATAAATACAAAAATAAAAATAAAAGGTTATGCACATGGATGCATCACTTGCAACTAACATGGAAAAGATTTATTCAACTCATTTGGACTGGAATAAGTTGGTGTTAACATGTTTATTAGGATCCATTTAGTTCTGGAGTGGGACTGAGCAGCTGGGCTTTGCCTCAAAACTAACCCATGGGCTCTATGGATCGAGTGGAAATCTGGTAATGGGTCTTATTCTGATATTCACTATGATATTATTCTGACATACAAGTCTACCAGCAAGGGAAACGAAGGCATATGACAATTTTTTCTTTTCTTCTTCTTTTTTTTTTTTTTTTGATAAATCATTTCATTAAAACCGAAAGAACCATACAAGAATATAACAAATAAATAAAATAATAAAATATAAATAATAAATAAAGAAAGAAAAAGAAACACTCCAACCAGAAAACCCCGCTTCCAAGATTGTTGGAATTTGATAATCTCTCTTTCATACATGATTTGATTTGATCAAATTTATATTTTAATTTCTCTTGCAGTTCCCTTCAAACATAATATTTTCTGACCTTTATGGGAAATGTAATTTCTTCAAACAGATTACTTTTTCCAATATTAACTTGGCTCTAACTCTGTGCCATTACTCATTAGTTTAGAAGATGTAAGTTTGCTCGCAGTTTTTTTTTTAGATTTTTGTAAAAAAATTAATTAAAATACCTAATCCTATAGATTTTTATTTTTTTTATTGGTTGAATGGATGTCCCGGTAGGAAAAAAAAAATGAAAATTGCACACTGACATAAAACAGATACAACAAAAAAAAAAAAAAATACAAATTACACAATGCATGTAGGAGAACATCTAGATTTGTGCTATCATTTTCGTATACAATCATCTTTAGCCTGCACCACAGATGGTGAAAAAGAGGTGGAAGAATAATGTAAATGAAAAAATCAAAGGAGAAAAATACAAACAAGGGATGGGGTAAAGCAGACTATATGACAGGCCCCTGGTCAGTTTGATATTGTGCAGCGGCCAGCAGTTCCATCTCCACGGGCATCGTGGAACAACAAATAGTTGATCCGAAGAAACAATGAAGCTCACACAAATTGTCTATGCTCTCAACATCTCAAGGAACCCTACACGATTCAATTACTTCAAGCACCGTTGTATGAGTCTCCGGCGAGATCATGTCTAGTGTCAGATGAAATTCCTGTAAGGCAGATAACAATAATAATAATACATAAAGATCTGTGTATAAACCACGATGTAATACCAGAAATAGGCCAGTTCAATGCTGGAAGCTCTTCAATCAATGGACATCCCCCCCAATATTTATAAATAACACTCTGATTGAAGTCTCTCGGTTTTTTTTTTTTTTTTTTTTTTTTTTTGCTAAATCCAAGTTAGTATGTCTTTCAGGATCCCACAAAATCCTAAACCTCCCATGCAAATTAGCTTTCTTGGGCATGGAACATGGTAAGATATTCTTATGAAAGAACAGTTCTGTCCACAAGGTTAGCGATCATAGGGTTTCTTAGTTGTAAAAATTACAAGTCCCCGCAATTTCCTCGCAGGTTGTCATTCACCAACTGCAGAAGGCCAAGTCACATTGGAAGTGCAGTGATTTTACCCAATGAAGTAAGGATGCCTTCAATAGGCTGGCTTGCTTTATTGGTGAATGACAAAATGACAAGTATGCCACTGCTGCATTGTAGCCCAAGCTCATAATTTAACAACCAGGAGGTTTTGAACTGCATTGGACCTGCCGCTGTGGCGGAACTAGTAGATGGTCTAATGATGAAATAAATCAACCAAAAAGAAAAAGTAGGGAGCAGTACTGCTACTTTCATTCTTTATCTATGCAGATAATACTAGTTGTAACTCATAATATATACATACCACGAATCTTTCCAACACAGGTACAAGAACCGCCAGGTTGCGATCTGGAAGATATTCAGCAATTCCATTGCGTATGCTCATACTGTTAACAGCATACACAGATTTTCGTTGAGAAAATATAAAGAAACATTTATCAAGGGAAATGATATCCATAGATGCACACAAACCTTTCAGTTGAAAGGAATGCCAGAAGAAGCGCTGAATAAGCTTCTACAATCATCTTCTCAGCTTCTCTCTCTCCCTGTAACACAGCTGCCTCGTCATCCTGCAGAATGCAACAAAATCCGAATTTAGGAAACGTCATGTTAAGCCTTCAGTGGGCTATATCTTGAAGATTTTCCACACAACAATGCATCCATCAATTGATTTGAACTTCTTATTCTAAAATGGTCAATTTACAGACAAAGATAACTTAAATTTCTTGTGAATGCACTCATTTATAGAAAAGAGATATTATTAAGGAACTAGATTTACAATCCCAAAAATTAGACAAATTTCAGTAAGAACTAAGATTTTAAATGCCAGAATACTTCTTTATTGTTGCCCCAAACTACACAACTTCCAAGTGGAGAGTAATTTTTTAATTATATTTGCATTAGCAATTCAACGATTGAAAAGTAAAATGAAAATAGGACACCATGATCGTCTTTTAATCTATTTCCAAGCTTGATTTGATAATATTTTTCCCAAACAATTTAACAATGATCTTGTAATGGAATATCATTCACCCAATTGCATAGACTTACCACAACCAATAAAGTAACTAGTCTACCAGACCTCATTCAATCTTAAACATGAACCTATAACAGCTTTAATTAGGTGCTGACTGTAGTTTTGTTCACAAAAGAAAGACATATTTCACATTATCAACTAAACTCAATCACATAATTTATAAGATGTAATCACTGAACTTTCTTGGGGACCAAAGTGATGGATAATATAAGACTAATTTTTTACTTTACTTTCTTTTTCTTTACTGCTCTAGCTTCTCAGAAACAAAACTATAAAATTCCTTATAAAAGAATAATCAAGCAGAAAAAAGATAAAAATAAAAAAATAAAAGCAGATTAGCAGAATAGGCTGAAATCTCAATAATATAACACCACCAGTTTACTTACCCACGTCAACTGCTTCCCTTCATCTGCTTCCCCTGCCCCCTGGTTGGCCAAAAAGATGGAACACAGAAGTGGGATTACATCCCTACAACTTTCATCTTCCACTGCTTCCAAACCGGGCAAAGAAACACTGGCTGATGCGAGCCGTGATCTGCCGTGAATCATATAACAAGATTTGATTAGTGAAATATATGAAGCTAACTTTCCGTGCTTCAGTGATTGCGATTTTTACAAGTCATCACAAGCAAAGATCATCTAAAAAGGGAATAAAAATTAAAAAAAAAAAGGAATAAAAGAAGAAATCCCAATTTACAGACCCAAATTTTGCTAGCATCAAATTAACAACTTGAAAGGCATATCATTTCACAAAATGTATGGGTCAATGGTGTCTGATATCAATCACCAGCAATTACAAAATCTTCAATATGATTTTTTTTTTTTTTTGCCATATTTGGTAATACTTTATTAACTGTTTTGCCGGTTTTGGGTGAGGGGAGAGGAAGGATGCAGAGCCAGACAAGGGCAGTAACTATCTCCCATTTATTCTTTTTGTAGAAAAGTAAATGGGTCAAGATTTTACAGGTGTGAAGACTCATCCCCCTCACCCTTACCATATTTCTTGTATATAACCATGTAGCGGCATTAAAAATTCCACTGAATAATATCTCATCTGGGAGATTTTTCAAGCCTCGTGTCATGGCAGTTCTAATTGGATTAGCAGTATCATCCAATGAAACGTTCTCTTGATACATGCATCCTACCCTTCTTTACCTTTTCCCTAAGATCAAAATTCTAATAAAATTTACATTTTAAGATTTCTCAGATAAAGATAAATATCTAATATTTTAATTATTTAATATGATGCATAGTTTCTGCCATATTTTCACTAGATAACTTGAAATTAGAGAACAAATACAACAATGTTGAATTTTGCATCAAATGTTGATAAAGTTCAAAAATTGGAAATAAATAAGTCCAAAATTCCTAGAAGATTATAAAAGTTCTGGAAAATGCATGGCACACTCGCAATCACTTCTGCTGCTCATGTGATACTTTTAAAAGCTTACAACACCCTGCTCATGTGATACTTTTAAAAGCTTACAACACCCGAAGAATTCCACAACAATACTTTATGCAAGTTTTTGAGTTGGAGAATGTCATGAAAAGATAAGATGCACAAATTATCATTTAAACAAGGATATTGCCAAAAGTAAAGTTTTATAGATAAATGTATTTAAAGAATGAGTTGAAGAAAGGACGTCCATAATAAAGTTAGACAAACATATCACTGTCACATGCAATAACAGCTTCATGGTCAACTACAAGTAAGCTAGTAAAGAATACTAAAAAGAAAAGGTTACCTGTTGCAACTATCCTTCTCGACCAAGTTTACAAGCAAACCCAAGATAGCAACAAGAAAATCTAACTCTTGATCAGTGAGATGTCCGTCATTTTGATGGTCAACTTCGATACTTGATTTGGAGAATGAGGTAGTATCTCTCATCTCACTGACAGGAGGCAAAAATGAGCTGAATAATGGAAAGTGGTTTGCAATCAACGAGGACAGAGTCTCCAGTCCTCCACATGAAGCAATTTGCTGACAGCCCATAGGGTTGTCATTTGTTAAGTTCATCAGAACCTGCCATGAGGAAATTAATATAAATTTCAGAAACTCCAATGCTTCATAAAGTGTTGACAAACATTGCCTGAATCGGAACCAATTTACACAGACTTCAATCAAACATTTACGCTCTATCAGAGAGAAAAACTAATCAAAAATTGAAGATTTTGGATAGGATAGATAATCCTATACTTTCCTTCTACAAAGCCAACAAATAAATAATTAAACATTAGGGAACCCAGAAGTTGTATTAAAAAAAATCTCAATTAGGAAAAGATCTACTGAAACATATTGAATGTACAGGAGAAGTCTTCTAGATTCCAAAATGCAAATAAATGGACCATTGGCGACTATATAATAACTAGTATCTAGATATATTTCAAAGGTCAAATCTAGGATATCCAATACGCGGATAAGCAAACCCACATAGTTTGAAGTATAGATTCAAGTTAAAAAGAAAAGCAGGAGTTGTTGTAGACTATTTTTATTACACTTTTTTCAAAAAAATTAATACCTTGACAGCTGCAAGAAGGCAGTCTACTAGAAGATTGGACTTCTTTTCATCAACAGCAGATGAACAAGAGACCTCATTAGAATGATGATTTTCGCCATCACCTGATACTTGATGGCTTAGCATCACTATGGACTGACATCCATCTTCATGTTCTCTTGATGTTGCCTTTGGTTTTTGAGTTTGAGATGCTCTTTGTCTTCCCGACAGTAAGTCCCACTTAGATGGCTCAAAATCGTCTTCATCAAAAGCAAAAGGATCCTGGCTGTCCTCTGGAAGTTCGGAGTTGCTTTCTCCAGTAAATTTGGGTTCCTTACCAAGACCAAAGTTCATCCTTGAACAATCATTACTTGCAGATACTCCACTAGTTGAACTCCTTGAAGTTCCACTGCATGAGCCTGACGTGGAAGAATTGATTCTCATTTTTAACAAACAATTATCAGCTGATGTGTTGGTAAATTCAGAACTGGGATTAGAATTCCTTGACAGGCCAGAAAACAACCATTCACTGTTCTGAGATTCACTGAGACTCCTCTGAGAAGTGGTCTGCTCTGTTCTACTGAACCTTATAGAAGAACTGATGGATATGATCTCATCACTGTCCACTGCAGATTCAGAAGATTATATTAACTTAATTATCATTTTATTCAAGTCTAGGTGCTTAACAATTTCTTATTAGCTAATAAGTGATAACTATAATTATATAACAATGTAAAATTATTTCCAGTAAGAATTTCAACTGAAAAGAATCTGTTAAATCAGCTACACCGTTAATTTCTGTGCAAGCGTCCATCACATATCTTTGAACTTTTTCTTGACACAATAAGGACACATCAATGACCAAGCTAGTTCAAAATTGTTCATCTCTGGCCCAGACCACTGCCCTAGAACAAGAAGATTGCTCAAGTGACATCAAACCTCCAAGGTTGACTTCAAAATCATTTCATGAATTAAGTGCTATTTTACTCGTGTCTTCGTCCTATATTTTCATTATTTCCACGGGGAGAGGGGAGAAAGTAATAGCTGCCAGGATATCATAGTGTACCTTTGCTATCTTCCATTAAAGGCATTTCAGAAGCAGCACAAATCCCATTGGAAAGATTATAAAACTCTTCCTCGTAGGAACTGCTCGAGGAACTCTTCAGTAAAGATAGACCTAGATATCAATGCCACCGTCATCCAAAAATAAACTATATTAAGCAAAAATTTACGTGCTAACCAAAAGTTTTTGAAAGCAACCCTCTAACACTAACAGATACCTGAAAGGATCTTGATGACTTTAATAACGAGTTTTGTAAAAGATCGAGGGGAACCCTTGTGGTCGAACTTTCCTTTCATTCCAAGCAAATGAATCTGTTATGATAATAATACCAATCAAAATGACTGGTAATTTGTCAACAGGCAGTTTAATTTTCAAAATTAAATTGGAAAAGGAAGGGGCTAAAGAATCTAAATTCAGTTTACCTGATTATCCTTACTAAGAAATGTGGCATTTTCCATGATTTTCAAACATTTTAAAAGCAGCACCAAACTTTCTAGATTGACATTATCCTTCGATTCTTGAATTGAAGATGAATTTTGTTCCAGCCATCCCTGCAAGCAAAATTTATGAGTTCACAAGGAGTATATATTCTCCAAATAATAAATGAACCACATTAATTGTTTGTTTTTAAAATTCAAATAACAGACAGAAGTTTGCAGTGTGTTGTTGTTTAATAATTACAGCACAAACTTGCTATAACTCAAAAATTAGATTTCACTTGCAAGTACAATTAAACCATTGTGCCATTCCGTTATAAGTGCATTTTCTATTTTATAGGCAATATGAGAAAGAAGCGCAGAAAGAATGCTATGTAAAGCGATGTTCAAAGCTTCTAGCGCAGGTGGAAGAAAACAGATCAGTGGTAAAAACCAAAAAGCTTTACTAGCTAACAGGAATAATAGTCAGCCAACAATAAAAATGACAAACCCATAAAAAACATCAAATGACTTTTTTTAGGAAATCTAATACATTGATAAAAAGACGGCCAAATCTTTTAAGTTTTCCCCTCACGTATTGGTTATTTTACCACACATAACTGATTTCAATCCAATAAAGCCAAACAGCAGAATGTTAAAAGAGTATCTGTATGTTATTTGATGCATGTATAGCCAAAAAGAACAAAAATGAAAAGAAGAATTAACAGAAAATAAACAAAAATCCACTGGACATAGAAAGAACTTCAGCTAATCAAAGCTATATAATTAACATTGCTTGACATCATTCACTGAAGGATGAACTTTGAGATACAAATATACATATATAATATATGACCATGTGGGGGACAAAAAACAAATTAAGAAATAAAAAGATGTTAACCCCATGCATGGTAGTAGGGCTGCATATGGTAATATAGCAACATCAGCTTCGCTGAAATTAGAAATTCATTATATGTATATTTATATATAGAATGTGAAGAAACAATAGAAGGCGGCATAACGGTGTATCCGTGATACATTGGTGCACATTCCAATTTGAAATATTGAATCACAACTCTCAACTTCTATTAACTATAGGAAATTTTGAATATTATAAACTTCTCCATAAGTTGATCCTATATAATCTTCAATTTGGGTCATGCATGTATTAGGGCACATTTGAATTCAGAATCCTGAACCACAGTTCTCAACCTATGTTTTCTAATGAACTTCAATTTGGGTCATGCATGTATTAGGGCACATTCAAATTCAGAATCCTGAACCACAGTTCTCAACCTATGTTTTCTAGAGAAAACAATAGCAAATTTCAAGACTTCCTCTACAAATTGCTGCACTATTCTCATCATTCATGTTAACCCATTGCAGTTCAGCTGGAAAATGAGATCCAAAAAACATACAATCTCACACCTCCATAATGGAATGACAATTCCTAGTGACCTCAAAGACCGCATCAAGTCCTCCAAGCTCTCGTAATTTTTCCTTGAAGTTGCCACCTGTCTTCCTAACAGCACCGGTGGTGTCTGAAAAATTGCAAACCAACAGGAAAAATCAGTAAAATAATTATAGAATGAAATGAAAAAACAAGAATATCAAGGGGAAAAGGGATTATAAATCAAATAAAAATAGTAAGTGGTTTACCAAGTTACAATTTAAAAAATAATAATAATAATAATAAATAATAAATAAATAACTTACTTCATTACAATGAACTGAAACCAAGACTATCACTACTCAATGTAAACAAGACATGGTTTGACTATTCAAAAAAAAACTAAGACCTGTTCAAGCATCCAAAAAGAAGTGTCTGAGGAATAACTGGAAGGAGAAAGAGGGGAGATTGGGTGTGGGTGTGGGTGTGGGTGTGTGGTGGTGTCTCACCATTAGAGGGTGATAAATTCTTGCAGTCCCAGATAACATATCACATCAATGGACACCTAAATTCAGAAACATGCACTACATATATATAAATGCAGGAGAAGATGAGGTTAAATTCAACCTTCAAGAGAAATTGTAGATAAGCAAGCTTTCTCCATCACCAACAAAGCTATCCATTTTGGGCTCAACTCCGGCTTCCCCATTCCAGCATCATTGCCATCACTTGACTTCATTTCCTTGCAACTTACAAGAATCTCCTGAACTTTGAGCATGATTGCAGCAGATGTGGAATCCACTCCGTTAACATCTTGTAAGATACCAGCATCCTTACGAAAAGCTAGAAGCTTATGGCCGATGGTTGGTACTTTGTCTTTAGTAGCATCAGAGGTGAGTGGTGTCAACAATTTTATTAGGAAACGAATGCAACCCGGCGAATCCAAAAGGTGATCCTCCTGACCCTGAAATAGTGAAATTTGAAAAGCTTTAAGATCCTTATGAAGATGAACAAAATGTATCCAGTGAATGTAGATCATCCAGTTAAACAATCGCATGAATGTACACATTTTAGATTTTAAGATAGCCAACAGAAGTAGAAAAAACAAATGAACCACCAAACACATTTTTAGTTAAAAAAATATTGTAGCATCAAGCATTTCAAAAAAAGATAGATTCTATATGAATATAAACTTGAAAACAACTAAAAAAAATTGTCAAATGCTGATGCAAGTTTTAAGAACAAAAGAGTATAATGACAAATGGCTTCAAACCTCCACAATAACTCAACAACTTATCCAACAAAGTTAATAAGTAATGCAAACAAGACAACATGCAGATAGACGCAAGTTTTAAGAACAAAAGAGTATAATGACAATTGTCTTCAGACCTCCACAATAACTCAACAACTTATCCAACAAAGTTAATAAGTAATGCAAACAAGACAACACACAGATAGACGATCATACCACACTCATAACAATGCACAAATTCCATTATAATCCACTGATCAGAGAACTAGTAATCCAAGTCACATAGAGCAGGAGCAGGAACGGGGGCTGGAGCAGGAGCGAGAGAGTTAGTTTGCCAAAATCTAAAACATGTGAGAGAGGATAGCAAGAACTGTTAGTCCTACTTACTGCTACAAGATAAGAAAGGTGTGTTACTCTCTTAAGTATCCCTCGGGGGTAGATAATAGGAGTAGGAAAGGTCAGCCCTCACTCCATTCTTTGCGGAATGACATGCCAGGGAAGAGAGTTCCTCCTTAAAGAGCTAATAGCTTATTAAGAAATTACTCTTCCAATCCTAAAATTATGGTTACATTGGGTCATTATGTTGTGGGAGCGTCTCTACAGCATTTATATATTCAATATCATCTTTTGTCCATTTATCTTAAAGAAGTACAACGTGTGCAAATATATTTATCAAATATTTATAAGATATATCAATTATGTTTTTTTTATTTTTTAGGAATAAGATAAAATAGTTTAAAGGGTTCACAAATCTAGCTATCAGAAGTGGGTTATGCGGTATGATTTCTATAAAAATGATTATGCACAAAAATGAGAGAATCAGAAAGCAATACTCTAATACATTTTTCCAAGCAACTCAGGAATCTCTATACGTTCATGCCTAGCTCAGCATCCTTTATAATCAGTTAAAACCAAAGCCCCGTTGTATAGGTTAAAACTTGGAATACAAGCATGGGTGAATGCAATTAATTATTTTGAAGGGTTAGTTTCCTAATGGTTTGAAGTTTGAATGTCTGGCAGCAGAAAATTCAATATTGACTAATCAACTAAACAATATAGAATAACACGCTGATAAAGACACCGTCCTATTCCAAAAAATTGGAGCCACATACAATTTACAAACTTTTGTGTATCTCACCAAATATCATCTCCCCCCCTCTTTCCCTCCCTCCTTTCTCGCGGGATGGCAGAAGCAGTCGAGCAAAGGATCGAGGAGAGAAGTTACGGCTTTTTAAGCCCTTAAGATCCCCGATCAAGATCCTCATTTTAAAATAAATCTGCAGAACCTTATCCAAAACTTATGATTATTTGGGGCTCGCGAAACAAAACTATTTCCTCTACTTAGTTCATCAAGAGCTATATGCCACAACTTCCTTTTCACCTTATAAAGTATAAACCCACTGGTTTTACAATTTCTATATCATTTTAATTCACAATGCTCACACCAGATTCCTTGAAACTCACCTAAAGCAAAAAAATTAATCTGATCATTTCATTCTCATTGAGCACAATGAAACCATCATCCTTGTCAGTTGGTTTAAGATTCAAATAAAAAGAAACTTCTGTGAAGGTTTGACAATACTTATCACCCTTCCAAGCTCTTTGGATTCAAAGGCATATCCTTAAGTGTACTATCATAAATTACTAATAACTCTGGGTGAGCAAAAGGTCAAATGCCACAACATAAGTACACAGTTCAGAGAAGGAGGCGCTTCAGGTTTTAGGCCTATGAATGAAATATGAATAGTTTTTCACCGAAAGGTAACACCTAATATCAAATACCAGCAAAATTACTCAACGCAACGTTAGCATTCTCAGAAGCTAGCATTTCAGATTATCCACCACTTACATCACTAGTCAAAATGTAGAAGAGTGCTGCAGCAGCCAGATTGCTAGGTGAATCATCAAAGCTGAGTTCCAAAACAGCATCAATAATTGTTTTCGCCATCCTGAAAACAAGGTGGCAAAAGAATTCTGAGTTCGGACAGTAGAACAATAGGAAGAATGCACCTATTTAGTATAAGCAAAATATGAATGTATATTTAACTAAAGATAAACATCTACTCGTGTAAATGGACCATGATGACAATCCCTCGGTCTAACATCTTGTGATTTGCCTATAACTATATTTCAGTCATAGAATTGAAACATTATCAAGTAAAACAGTCGGAAGTATAAAAAGTCAGCCAATGTAATTTGTTAATTTGGTTCTGCGGACTAGGAGAGATTCTAAGTATCTTGGCATTCTCTACTTCCTCCCATACACCCAAAGAGTACCTTCTTGGGTTAAGAAATCTGAGGCGAATTTCAATTAACTTGAAAATCAAAAAAGGATAATATTGCTTGTCATATGGAATAAATTAGCTTGGATACCGAATTTACACCTTTTGCATAACTTCTTATACCCTGCAAACAATCCAAAACGCTTGGTAAGAGGATTGCCCTCAAGCTTCTCGGATCATGATAAAATGACCAAATTTTCTTATTATTTGGTAGAGGAAAAATTCTTTGGGAAGGTTTCACTTAAAATTCGTTGGGAAGGTTTCACAAACCTCAAGCAACTCTATCTAATTGTTCTTTACCATTGACTCTTTGTTTCATCATTTTTATTTTTTTATTTTTATAAGTAACTCTTTGTTTCATCATATCACAAGCTCAAATTTTGGAGCATCCATTTCTACAATATGAAAACCTTTTGAGTGTGGTATTTTAAGACAAGGGGAGACATTAGTTTTCTGCTTAAATCTGTTTGACAACATCTGTATGTTCATCAGTCTAATGCTTTGGGTGTTTAGAAAGCCTTTGAAACAGCACTACATTTTTTATGGACAATCCCTGGAACCAAGTTTTTAAGCGGAAAAGTGCATGGTAGCATCAACTTCCACAGAAAAATTCTCTATGTAATTGAAAGATTCTTTAACTTGATTTGGATAGGTTTCTGGGATCACACCATATAACTACACCATCAATTTGAAGATTGGTTAATAAAAAGGAAGCCAAAGATTGGTTAATATCCTCAAAAAGTGAATAACTTTGTTGGTTGAAATCAAAGATTGATCAATGGCCGAAGTTTCAGACAGTTATTTCATTGTCAGAGAGTCAAGAAATTAAAGCTTAACCAAGAAGAACAGTCAAAAGCATAGAAAGGAAGATGGTCTAATCATTTGTGTGCCCTACGAGGGTTCATCAGAGCATAATTTACTTATTTATCTTAGTTAGTTGACCACAAACCCTGTGCAGAATATACTGCACTCATCTTGGGACTCCATCCATCCATTCAAAAGGTACCTTGTATTACTCCATTACCACACTTCCTAAAAATGGATATCTAACAGATAGATTTGTTGTGAGAGAGAGATGCAAAGTACAACATCTGAGCTTATTTGCACCTTATGATGATTCCTTGATGAGCAAACGTTAAACTATAACAACAAATATAATCTTCAGATAATTCACTGATTGGACTGTTTAGAACGCATGAATGACATAGATACCAATACATCTCAATGTATCCAACTTGAAATCATTACAATCACAACACAATATCCTTCCATACACTGTCATGTTAACTGGAATATTAGATATTTTTCCCCGAAAATCATCTTAAAAAATTTCTATGACAATTTTTATCTAAAGCAAGCCGAACCATATCAATTGTTTCTTGTATCCAGAATGATAGTACAAGGTCCAACTAAACATTTCTCTTTAAACAAACTACAACTACAAGATGGAAGTAATTAACACTTGCCTCAAAACTAACTTCTAAATGTTATAAACTCTTCATTGTATATTCGTATATTGTTAAGAGACTTAATATATATAGACAACATTAATAAAATGTCCAAAACCATCAAATAAAATGTCTCAAAACCTCGTTAATCAATATTACTTGATCCCATTAATGGGTTTCTTTCAAAAATATTATTAAACAATTTAAACTATAAAATTGATACTTAAGAGCATATTCAAACACCATTGACACAAAATATTTAAAAAGTCACATACCCATGAGTTCTTAAAAGCCGCCGCTGCTGCGCAGTGCCGCATATAGACAACAAAGACAGCAGACTCGCCCGCCTAATCCGAGCAGGCTGGCCCTTCCTTAATCCATCCAAAGCGAAATTCACCTCATCCACATGTTCCATCATTTCCCCAAACTCCTGCGTCTCCATCAACGTCGCCGTTGACATCAACGTGGCCGGCACCACTGACACCGATCTCATCCGTTTCGATTTCAACTTCTTGGGCACCTCCAATTCGCTCTTCCCGTTTCTCGCCTTCTTCGATTTCCGGATATCCCCATCGCCGTTCTTCAAATTCCCGCCGATCAGTGGCTTTCTCGGAGGCAGAATCGCCAATTGACGCGATTCTTGAGGCAAATTCGAGCCTAGGGGGTCCGAATCGAAGGCCCAGTGGGACGAATCTTGGGACGAGAACGCGAAACTGTATATATCTTGGGGGCTTTCTTGGGATGAAGAGTCTCTGAAGCTGTCAGATACGTCGTCGTCAAAACCGGAGTCGGAGTAGCTTCTTGCCATGCCTCGATTCCGACTATTCCGACGACCGTACGTTCTAACTATCATTTTTCCGTTGGCTGTAACGTTCCAAAGAATTCAAATCTTTCATGTAATGAAACTATCAAAGAAAGAAAGATAGGGTTTTTAGGGAAATAAATTCGGAAATTGAGGGTAAATCTGAAGAGTATAGGAAGGTTTGTTGAAGGTCCTTGGTTCAGCTCTGGTTTGAAGATTTGAATCAAGATCGGGAGAAGAGTATCGAAAAATTTTAAGTAAAAGGAGTGAAAGATTTTAGGTTAACGTTTTTTTCATAAAAATCTGAGCGTTTATTTTGAGGGTATACCGATTACGGTATGTGGGCCATAGAGTTGAGGGTAATCTAGTAATTACAATTTTGAAACTAACCTCGTGACGTTATTGTTGCCGTTGATCTTAATCAGGAGTCGAATTGCTTTTTTTTTTGTTTTTTTTTTTTTTTTTTTTTTTCTCGTTAATCCAGTTGAAAAGTAAGCTTGGATTTGGGTTTTGGGTTTAGACAGACGATTTCTCTACAGTGCGTTTTTTCGCCTTTGTCCGATTAATATTTCAGTGTTCTCGCGTTATGGTACGGCTTCGCAAGTAAATGAGCCTCAGCCGTTGGATCAAGGACGATCCCATCATAACCTCGATCAACTGTGTGTTTTTTTTTTTTTTGTAAGTGATAACCTCAGTCAACGGTTTTCAAGACAAGTTCACAATGAGCATTCTCGTCATGAGATCCTGGAGAGTGCACCAGATCTTCTCCCTGGTCAGAACACTTTCTTTCTCAATGCACTTATCCGATATACAATCCTCCATCTCAGTTTTGTTTTTTTTGATTGGCAACAACTAGCTAGACAGGAAAATAAAATTAAAAAAAAATTAAGATTTATATTTGTTTGGTTAGATGAAAAGTGAAAACTTTTGAGAAAGTAAGGTTTCTCTAAAAATTTTCTCTAGACTCCATTTAGTTAAACGAAAAATTTTACGAAAATTGAGAATGAAAAAAAAGTGAAGTGAAAGAAAGGAAAATCAAGTTTTCATCGTGCATTTGATTAGCAATAAATTTTTTGAAGTAAATTAAGTGAAAATTGTATTTTGTTAGTTTGGATAACATGAAAATGAAAATGAAAATGATTCTATTTACCAAAAATATCCTTATAAATTTAAATTTATATTAGATAAATATTATTTATACTTAATTATTTATTTTAGTAAGAAAATAGTGAAATATGAAATAGAATATATATATATATATATATATATATATATATATATATATATATTCACTTGTCCTACTACGTGGATTCAAATATTCGTTTTCTCCTCATGCTAGCTTTATTTTTGTTATTTATTATTTATTTTTCCTTATTATTATTTTTTTTAAATTGAGAAAATTAAACTTTTTGATAAACGGAATTTTTTATGTCACCAATGGGCCAAAAAAGTAGAAGATAAAGAAGATTCATACAAAGTTATTTGTTTAAATTCTTTATTGCTTTTACTTCTAAAAATACTTCATCAATATAAAAACTAACACACAATCTTAGAAAGGCAGAACTATAGTTTCTGCTTGTAAAAAAAAAAAAAAAAATGAGCTTTGGAATATTTGTAAAGTGAAAGTTTTGGCTCTAGTTTGAACACATATGATGTCACGTACATAAATAGATTAACGATAAGTGATTTTCAAATTGTTGACCAATAATCTCAATACTAACCCAGTTTTCACCCAACACTCTTATCAACAAATAGTTATGTATATATATAACAACTCCTAATCATTATCAATTATGAGAAAAAATATTGGGTAATTTACACAGACTTCCCATATGATTTGCCATAATTACAAGCGGCACCCTTCCTGTTCCTGAAATTACGCGGACCTCCCCTATTTTTGAAAATATCTTACACAGACCTCCCTTCTGTTAGAGTCAACGGTAGTCAACGACTGAAAATGATGACATCAGCTACTATTTTTCATGAAATGCCGAAAATACCCTTTCCTGCCCTTATATATATATATATTTATATATATAGATGTGATTACAGTCGGCTTATCCCTGGCCTTTCAATTTTTGAAAACTAGAGAAAGTTTGGTGAAAAGGGTTGTTGTCTCCGAGCTTGGATTTGGAAAATCGGTGAAGAATTTTCCTGGAAAGTTGGGTTTTTAATTTTCTGGGAAAATATAAAAGTGAAGGGTGAAAATGTGGGGATTTGGGGGAAGGTACTGATAGGGAAAAATAACCCTAGCCTATCTTGACTTAACAAAAAAGGTAATTAAATATTGACCGGCAACCAGATTTCTTCAAATCTCAGGCGATAATATCTCGTTATCAAGGATAACCATTTCTACTAGATAAAAATGATGACAAATCGTATCAAGGATAGGATTTGTCATGGGGTAAGTTCAAATCTTATCAAGGATAAGATTTCCACGAGATAGGCTCCATGGGCTAAGGACGATAAAATTCCCTTATCAAGAATAAGGGAAGTGACTATAAATACAAAAATGACTCGGGAACAAGGTACACACACAAAAATTCCTACTAAGCAAATTACGATAAAATTCTCTATCGAGAACCCTTACTAACTTGATCGTCGGAGGGTCAACGGCCGGCACCACACCGGTGTTTGACTTTGCCATCTTTGTTTTGCAGGAAACGGTGTCGTACTAGACCGCGGCGAATTTCAACCTCAATAGTTGGCGCCATCTGTGGGAACGATGATTCCCTTGAATCGATTTATTACTCGTTGGGTATAGACGTTTGCTGTCTGGTATGGTTACCGAAGGAACACCGTCGCAGGGATCTGGTCAAAGGGAAGAGTCGGGTGAAAACCTAAACGTCCCAAATGACCAGACGCGGTTTGCAGCGTTGGAACTGCAGGTCCAAACTTTGAATCAGGGTGTGGACCAGTTGATCTAACAAAATGCAGCACTCCTGCAACACCTTGTTCCACTGGTTCAACAGAACTTACCACGCCAAGACCTCTCGAATCCAAACAGAGGTAATGGGAATCTGGAAGAGCAGGATACTCATCCTCCCCGACATGAGACCGAAGTTGAACAAAGCCAGGTGGGAAACCGACATAGAGAGGTGATCCACCCCTCTCTTCCACGGAGTTCCCGACCCCATGAAGACACAATTGTCATTGAAAAGACCGAGGAGATTTCCCATGTTAACCTAGAGATGCAAGATCTCAAGGCAAAGATGGAGGGTGTGATGCAGGCCATGAAGGGAGCATTACAGCTATAGATAGTTTGGTGCAGAAGACCAATTTGCCGTTCAGCCCCTCGGTTATGAAATGCCCTTTGCCAAGCAAATTTAGAATGCCCACAATTGACAGTTTCGACAGAACTAAGGATCCCCTCGACCACTTGGAGACTTTTCAGGCGCTGATGCACCTGCACGCGATGCCGGATGAGATCATGTGCAGGGCTTTCCCAACGACTCTCAAAGGATCAGCACGGGTATGGTTCAACAAACTAAAGCCAAGAACCATCGAAACCTTTGAAGAATTGAGTAAGGGCTTTGTGGGCCATTTCATTGCTGGCCAGAGGCATAGAAGGCCGGCTACCCACCTCCTCACTGTGAAGCAACGAAAGGGAGAGTCACTGCGAGATTACATTAGTCGTTTTAACACGGAGATGTTACATGTGGAGGAAGCGGATGACAAGGTGGCCCTAGCCGCCTTCATGGGAGGACTCCAAACCTCAAGATTCCTCTTCTCTTTATCAGAAGAACCTCCTACCAGTATGGCCGAGTTATTGGTTCGAGCTAAAAGACATATGAATGCTGAAGATGCAATGATTGCGAGAAAGGGAAAAGAAGGGGAGGATAAGAAGTCAGACAAGAAAAGGCCGGCCCTGACAATCAGAGATGAAAAGGAAACCGAGTATAAGAAACCCATGGTCAACCAGAATAAAAGGGCGTCTCGCTATAAGAAAGCGGAGAGGTATACAAATTACACTCCTTTAAATATGCCGATAGATCAAGTTTTCCTGCAGATCCAAGATGAGCCATATCTGAAGTGGCCACCGAAGTTGAAGTCAGATTCGGCAAGGAAACCTCGTGATAAGTATTGCAGGTTCCATAAAGACCATGGGCACGCTACAAAGGATTGCTTCAACCTTAAGGATCAGATTGAGACTCTAATCCGAAGGGGGTACATGCGAAAGTTTATTGTGGGGAATGACAGAACCGACATTAATCCACTAAAAGCAAGCCGAGACAACCACCCTCCTGATCAACAACCAATAGGAGAGATCAGGGTTATAGCTTGGGGGTGTGCAGGAGGTGAAGAATTAAGCTCAACCCGTAAGGCCTGTGCCAGGAGAATGCGAAGCTCATCTGAGGTGTGCGAAGTTGGAGTACAGATTCAACATCGAAAGATGCCTCGTTTAGGTGATCCAGTTATTACATTCTTAGATGAAGACATGAAGGATGTGCAACAACCTCATGACGACCCTCTTGTCGTCACCATGATGATCGCTAACTATAATACTCGGCGAATCTTGGTAGATAATGGAAGTTCAGCTGATATCATTTTTCTTGATGCATTCAGCAAGATGAAGATTGGTAAGGAGAAACTCAGACCTACTAGATCACCATTGGTGGGATTCACGGGAGACAAGGTCTATCCTCTAGGAGCGGTCATCCTTCCTGTCACTGCAGGAACCAGCCTAAAACAAGTCACTGTCATGGTAGACTTCCTGGTGGTAGATTGTCCATCTGCTTACAATGTCATCCTAGGAAGAGCGACCTTAAATTTGATGAGGGCCATCACTTCGACTTATCACCTATTAATGCGCTTCCCTACCGAGCATGGCGTAGGCGAACTAAGAGGAGATCAGTCCATTGCCAGAGAATGCTATGTTGCCTCTCTCAAAGAAAAGATGCAGCAAGAGGCTTTGATTGTCGATGAAGTTGAAGAGAATGAGCAAGACCGTGCTAAGCCAATCGAGGACTTAGTGGAGATATGCTTGAATGACACTGACGTAACAAAAAAGGTAAGGATAGGGTCTCTGCTCCCCTCAGATTTCACAAATATTCTTATACAGTTCCTCAGACATAATCAAGATGTATTCGCTTGGTCACATGAAGACATGCCCGGTATTAATCCAACTACGATTGAGCATCGATTAAACACAGATCCTACATTCAAACCTATCAGGCAAAAACGAAGAACATTTGCCGCGGAAAGGAACATGGCTATATCAGAAGAGGTGAATAAACTTATGAAAGCTGATTTCATCCAAGAGGTTCGTTATCCCGACTGGTTGGCCAATGTTGTTTTGGTAAAAAATGCCAATGGAAAATGGAAGTTGTGCGTAGACTTTACCGATTTAAATAAGGCGTGCCCCAAAGACAGTTTCCCTCTGCCAAGAATTGATATGTTGGTAGAAGGGACAGCTGGCCATGAGCTGCTCAGTTTTATGGATGCATACTCGGGGTATAACCAAATCTCAATGCACATACCAGACCGATAGAAGACCTCTTTCATCACGGACAGAGGTTTATATTGTTATAAGGTGATGCCTTTTAGGCTAAAAAATACTGGTGCAACATATCAGCGGCTAGTAAACCTGATGTTTAAGGACCAAATCGGAAGGAATATGGAAGTGTATGTGGATGACATGCTCGTAAAAAGCTTGAAAGTTCAAGACCACCTGGCTGATCTACAGGAAACGTTCCAAGTCCTCAGGAAACACTAGATGAAGCTTAACCCAAGCAAATGTGCCTTCGAAGTCTCCTCTGGGAAATTCCTCGGTTACATGGTAAGTAGAAGAGGGATAGAAGCTAACCCTGAGAAGGTTCAGGCGATTCTCAACATGCAGTCTCCAGCATCGACTAAGGAACTTCAAAGATTGACAGGAAGGATCGCAGCTCTGAACAGGTTGATTTCCAGGGCGACCGATAGGTGTTTGCCTTTTTTTAGTGTGCTCAGGAAAGTTTTTTCATGGACCCCTGAGTACGAGCAAGCTTTTACAGAGCTAAAGGAGTATCTCACTTCACCACCATTATTGTCGCGGGCGATGCAAGGAGAACAGTTGTATTTGTACTTGGCGGTTTCTCCGTCGGCAGTAAGCTCGGCCTTAGTCCGTGAAGAGGATAGAAACCAGAAACCGGTATATTATACTAGCCGTGCATTCAAGGGGGCGGAAGAAAGGTACCCAAGGATAGAAAAGTTGGCATTTGCTCTAGTTATCTCTACGAGGAAACTCAGGCCTTACTTCCAAGCTCATACAATAATAGTATTGACGGACCAACCACTTAAGCAAGTTCTCTGCAAACCTGATACTTCAGGGCGACTCATGAAGTGGTCGGTAGAACTTGGAGAGTTCGATATCCAATACAAACCCCGAATGGCCTTAAAAGCCCAGGTACTGGCAGATGTTATAGCGGAATTCTCACCAGAAGATGGACCCAAGCATGCTGCAAATGAGCAAGAAGAAGCCGAATCTACTTGGACGTTATATGTGGATGGGTCCGTCAACGCCCGTGCAAGTGAGGCAGGGTTAGTAATGTAATACCCCTAATTTTAAAAGGACGGTTCTGGAATTTAATTATTGTATGTAATTACGTTTTTATTAAGTTAATTGTTTTAATTGCCTGTTTATTTGTTTTTATCTGTTTAATTGCTCATTTTATTGTATTAATTGTTTTATGTGTTTAGTTGCGAATTTGTTGGTTTAATTATTTCATTGGATTTAATTAATTATTTAAATTTTGTGACGTGTTTAAGTGTTGTAAATTATTTATTCTATTTAATTCTTTAATTGTTTATTTATTGGGTTTTAATTATTTGATGAAATTGTTTTCTTTAAATAGAATTAATTATTAAATGATTTAATTAAGTAAATGAGTTTTTACGTTGGTAGGATTAATTAGGGTTTTGTTTTAGCGTCATTGTTGTAGCCGACGTAGTATAGGATTGTTATATTGTCGGTTGTATAATTCTCTTTCAAATAGAATTAGGGTTTAGGTTTTTACTTAAGCCTATAAATATATTATTAGACGACTACTTAGGGTTTAGAGATCAAAAACCCTAGTCACGACATAAAGAAAATAGAGAGAAGTTGAGAGGAGTCTGGGAGAAATTTGGGAAGCAACAAAGGGAAGAAATAGAGAGTTGGCCGGAGTTTGTTGAACGACGTCGGTGTAAGGCAAGTTTTATTACTAACTCTATCTCTTTGGCCTGTGTTCTTTGCATCTCTAATTCAGTTCTAGGAAGAAATAAAGCTAAATTAGTTTGGTTGTAATTATTTGTTTCAAACAGTATGGGTTCTTGTAAGTATTTTCCGTTCGTGTTGAAACTGTTTGTGCATGTTCTTGTTCTAATTGAATTTGATTAACAAGTAATGAACTTAAATAACTTTAGAGCACTTTGGGACTTAGTTTTAATCCATAGGAAAGTTGGTTGGAGGTACAAGTTAGCCGGACACCGCCAGAGTTGGAGAAGAAGGCAAAACAGCAGATTTTCTTTTATATGCGGGTTAATCGTTTTTAAACTAGTTTGTTTAATTCTTGTTCCCACTGAATGTGATTATTAATCAAGGAAGTTAATTAACTTTTGAACACCCAAGGACTTAATTTTAATCAGCAAGAAATTTGGGTTGGAGGATCAACACAGCCGGACACCGCCGGAATTGGAAAAACGACGCACAGGGGAAGGAGCCTGCTCTATTTCAAGTAGAGCAGGCTCAATTAAAAAGTGGAGCAGGCTCTACTTGGTAGTGGAGGCGGCTCTACTTGGTAGTGGAGGCGGCTCCACTTTGGGTGGAGCCGGCTCCTTTGTGGGTTTCCAGTTTTTTCCATTTTTCTGAGTTTTGGGCAACCGTTTGGGCTACGGACTTGGATTTTGGTAATTTCAGATTCTGTTGGAGGCTGTAATGGAGTGTTTAGTGATGTTCTAAAAGCTTATAAAAACTTCAGGGAACAAACTAAAACAAATTAAACAAGTTGAGGTTCATTCTTGAATAATGGGTAAAGTTTAACTAAACTAGAATACAGTTTTCGGATGTAAAAGATGTTAAATTGCTAAGTCTTTATATGGCAATTCTTGAGAATTGAATACAGATATTATGGTTCAGAAATTATATATAAGCATGCAAGGTTACAAATATTTAATTTTGCTTGCTGTGGATAGATTGACAGATGCATACATTAGATGTGTTGTCAATTATGAGAGGTTGTTAGAGTAAACTTAAATCAGTATGTTTCTATATATATACTCTGCTCTAGCATGTTTTGTGGGGGATAATTGATGTTTGCATGTATGTGATAAATTATCAATTATTGGATCTTGGAAAGTAGTAGTTATAAGTCTGTTAAGTTATAGAATTTTAACATGCTTATTATGGAATCATTGATGCTTATACTTGATGTATTATTATCAATTGTGGACTTTCTGGAATAGTTGTATTTTACATATATATATATTATCAATTCTGGATGGATGTTTTTGTATGCACCGGTATGGGCCGGTGACATACCAGGGGGATTAGCTTAAAAATACTAAGTTCTACCTACTCTGGAATAAGGGATGGATTAACTATAAAAGTTAAGTCCTACCTGTCTTCTGTGTCAGATCAATAAATAATTGAGTGACACTTTGGTTTGGAATGGAATTTAAATATATTTTTATGATGCCACGATATGAGCCTGAGTCTCAGAGTCGTTGGTTAGGGAGCGTATATGCATTGGGATGCATAGCTGGCTATGATGGTTAGATGTGTACCCTGCTAGGACTAGGTAGTCATGCCCACCTTTGGGTGCGTTTTCGCATGGTGCCTACTAGTCAGGTTGAGACGGGCCTGTAGTCCAGTGAGAGTCCTATAGTGTGATTATATATATATATATATTTATCTACGGACTATTAGCTATTGTTGGATTGGTTAGGTTGTACATACGTATCGGGTCTCTGCTTGGATAGTAGTAGTATAGAACTTGCATGTGGGCCTGACCCACTCATCATTTTTCAGGTATCGGGCATTTCCAGTCTAGAGCTTGTTCGTGCTGAGCAGAGACGATCTTCCATTCTACCGACGACGTAGGACTTCTTTCCAAATATTAGATTTGGATTTTATTTTCAGTTTTTACTTTCATTCAGTTTGGGATTTTTATTAGGGGTTCACTAGAGATGGATTCCCAAGTTGTTAAACTGATGGAGTTTTGGATTATCAGATTCTAAGTATTTAATTATAAAGGATTTTTCTTTTAATTTCTTCCAGCTTAAACTTTATTTATTAAATTTATTTTGTCATCTGTGTTCTTTTAAAATATTAATTATTTGATATTCCCTCGGATCTGTGCTCGGACTTGATCACCCGTGGCTCTAGAATCGAGGGGTATCACAAGTAATTATCTCCCCGAATAGGGAATGCATCAAATATGCACTCCGGTTTGGTTTTAAAGCATCCAACAATGAGGCAGAGTATGAAGCCCTCTTAGCAGGCCTCAGGATGGTGAAAACTTTGGAAGTTAAACGACTAATAGCATATACTGATTCTCAACTAATAATTGGACAAGTCCAGGGGAAATATGAAGCCAAGGATGAGAAGATGAAGACTTATTTACATAAGATAGAAGATATCAAGGGTTTTTTTAAAAAGTTTTCTATTCACTAGATTCCCCGAGAAGAGAATAAGCAGGCAGACGCCCTAGCTCGACTAGCAACCACAGAGGAAGATAAAGCCATACCCGTGGGATATTTGGATGAGCCTAGCACAGTCTGGGATTGGCCACAAAAAATACACTAGGTAACCCATTATCAGGTACATTGAGAACGAAGAGCTACCCTAGGACCGCACGGAAGCACGAAAAATTAGGATACGTGCGGCAAAATATTCCCTCATTGATGGGGTTCTCTACAAGAAGGGATTTTCTCTACCCTATTTGCATTGTGTCTCCATTAATGAGGCAAATTACATTCTAAAAAACATACATGAAAGGCCTTTGTGGAAATCATGCTGGGGGCAGATCACTAGCGCATAAAGCTATCCGACAAGGATACTTTTGGCCTACTATGAGGACAGATGCACTTGAGTTTGTGAAGAAATGTGACAAGTGTCAGAGATTCACCAATGTCCCAAAACAACCAGCAGAAAAGTTAACCCCTCTTATAGGGCAGTGGCCTTTTGCCCAACGGGGGACGGACTTCATCGGCCCCTTACCCCAAGGGAAGGGACAAACTAAATACGCAATTGTGGCTATCGATTGTTTCACCAAATGGGTAGAAGCTGAGCCATTGGCTCATATTGGAGCGAATGAAGTAAAAAAGTTTCTTTGGAAGACAATAATTTGCAAGTTCGGAGCACCAAGGGTAATTGTGACCGATAATGGGAAGCAGTTTGAAAGTGAGCAGTTCCTCGATTTTTTTAATGAACTTGGGATCAAAGTTCATTTCTCCTCTCCTGCCCATCCCCAAGCCAATGGGCAAGTTGAGGTTACGAATAGGACAATATTGAAAATGATCAAGACACGCCTAGAAAAGGCAAAGGGCTTGTGGCCTGAACAACTACCCGGAGTTTTATGGGCCTATCGCACTACCGTAAGAACCCCCACTGGGGAGACCCCTTTTGGGTTAGCTTTTGGAAGTGAAGCTGTGATCCCGATAGAAACAAAGGTTGCTATTTTCAGAACCAAGTATTTTGAACCTCAATAGAATGAGGTGGAACTACGATTAAACCTAGACCTGGTAGAAGAAAAAAGGGAGCAGGCCCAGGTCAAGGTTGCAGCTTACCAGCGGATGATATCCAAGTACTACAATGCCCGGGTCAAGCTAAGGAGGTTCGAGCCAGGAGACCTGGTGCTTCGCGAGGTTACCCCGGCTATTAAGGAAAAGGGGGAAGGAAAGTTAGCTCCCAATTGGGAGGGCCCTTATCGAGTAACCCAGAGCAATAGACCAGGGGCATACTAGTTAGAGCCACTTGGTGGGAGCCAGCTTCCCCACCCGTGGAATGCAGAACATTTGAGGAAATATTACCAGTAGGTACTCATGCCAGGCTGTGTTTTATTTTATTATTTCACTTTTAAAAGTGATAGAATGTTTTTAGCTTCAATAAAGCAGACCAGTGTGTAATGGATGCTAATACTCGACTATCGATTATTATTTTCGATAGGTCTTTAATAAAATGGTTATTCGTATTTATTGCACGTGTTTCTACTGAATTTAATAAGTCACATAAGGACTAGTAACACATTAAGTCCACTTCTTTATTAAAAGAAATAAGTGACTTTCCCTTACTAAAGGGACGAGTTGGGTGAAGTTCGTAAAAATACGTTCCTTCGGAAGAAGGACGGGCTGAGTGAAGCCTGGAAAAGTAAAATGAGTTCTGCATAAGGAAACAACAAGTATGAAACAATACCATGAAAGACAAAAGTAGAGCAACTATTCTCTGGATTAAGAGATATTCTGAAAAGTTCTAAAGGAACAACATATTGAGAAATCAAAAAACCTAATATATATATATGTATATATATGACTACTACTATGGAATTCCATCTTTCTCTTCGCTCTCACTTAGAATGTCATACATAGAAAAGTCTATGTCTGGACGATCTTTGCCGACAAGAGCTTTGAACCGGTCAAAACCACAGCAAGCCTTGCCTATGAGCACCTTGAATTCATCAGAATTTTTAAAACTCTCCACGGCAGCTAGCTTCTCGAGTTCCAGCTTATCAGAGTATTCTTTGGTAAGTTTCACTTTCTCATCTTAAAAGTTTAATTTTGCATTAGTCAAGTCATCTTCTTTAATTTTAAGTGCAGAAGTAACATCTTCATAGTTAGCCTTGAGGGAAGCCATCTCTAGGGAAAGCTTCTCGTATTCTTTGGCGATAACAACAGAGTATGTAGTGCCCTATAAATAAATAAATAGTGGCGAACAGTTAAAAAAAATAAATAAATAAGGAAATAGATGCACATAATAAGGGTAAAATCTCACTTGGCTGATTAGATGAAGAAATTTCTTTGAAAGCTCAGATGCTGACAGACTCTGCAATCTGGCAGTGTCATCTTTTACTACCATTTTATGTAACCTGTCATTCGCGACATTAGCATCATCGAGAACCAATTCCCCGTGGGAAAAGGCTTGGTTGGTTGATACTGAACCAAAACTTTCGAAACTCGTAAGAACCCCACTAAATCCGTTAAAACCTAGAGGTACAGGAGTAGGACCTGATAACACTCCAGGGCTTGAGGATGTACCATGATTCCCTTCTCTTACCCTTCGTAATTTTTTAGAAGCAGGAGTAGCAGGAAGATTACTTGACCAGACTTGGGCTAGGAGCCTTTTACTGAGCTCCTTGCCTACATAAAGAGTAATAAGGGAAATACTTAATGAGATAATAACTAAAATCAGTAAATTCACATATAAGTACCTTTGCTTTCCTTACCTTTCTCTGAGTGGGTGGAGGTTTCCTTTGAGCTATGAGCTCGTACATACAAATCTAAAGCCTCGTCAGTCATGAGATCGCTAAAGGTCTTCACTGGGTAAGAAGAAGCATTACCAACATACTCGGCTTCTTGAATAGAGAGGGTTGGTTTGTCCTTAAACTCTAGGAAAAAGAATTATAAGTTACACTTAAAAAATAAAATAAAAAATACTATTCATGAACAATACTGTAGGTACTGTTCCCTCGGGTGCAAAAAAAAAAAAAAAAAATTATTATTTTACTATTCACGAACAGTACCCGCGGATACTGTTCACGAACAATACTCGATGGTACTGTTCCCTCGGGTACCCAAAAAAAAAAAATTATTATTATTTTACTATTCATGAACAGTACCCGCGGGTACTGTTCCCTCGGGTACAAAAAAAAAAAAAAAAGAAGAAGAATTTGGAAACTATATACATATAAATCTTACCTGTTGAATCTGAATTATTCCAAATAGTTGGAAATTTCCCGAATGCACCGGACATAAAAAAGAAACGACTCTTCCAACCTTTATTATTTTCAGGGGTTGCAACAAGGAGGAATGTCTTCTTTGATCTACACTGGAAGTACCAAAAGTTGTCTTTTTTCTTCTTTGGATAATAAAAATGCAGGAATTGATTTATTGTTAGACGACCATTGCCATACTTACCCCAAACAATCAAACAGCCTATAATAATTCTAATTATGAATTAGGAACAATTTGAGAAGGAGCTATCTTCAGATAAGAAATAATTTCTTTTACAAATGGATGAATCGGTAAACGCAAGCCCGCAGCAAAAGTCAACTCGAAAAAGCATACCTCACCCAAACGAATAGAAGAATATCTATCTTCTGGTTTGGGTTTGTGAAGACGAATAGATGAAGGAATGGAATATTTAACTCTACAATTCTGTAAATTCTCATCCTTAATTAAGGATTCTCTTTCACGAGGAGGTTGCTTGGAAAAAGCAGTCCTTGGTCTTGAGGAGTAATCCACACCAGATTCATCACCATAGTTAGGATCAAGTTCTTCAACACTTTCAGAGGTTGAGTCCTCGGATTGAGATTCAGTATTCAAGTTATTTTTCTGCACGAACTTGATGAGGTATCGAATATCGCGAAAATAGCGAAACCACTTTGGAATTACACCGATAACCCGGTAGAGACAACTTGACCCAATTACGTATCTACAACGATCCACAAGAAACTCACAGTTAGGATCCAGTTTAGAGGATTTCAGACAAAAAAGAAAAGGAAGGTAAATAAATAAGTAAATATATTTATTTATTTATAGGAAAATTCTTTTTCAAGTAACAGTGAAGTTCTTGTAAAGGAGTTCTACTGTAATATGGAAGGGGCCTGTAGTAAAAAGGAAACAAATGGAATATAGAAAGTATTTCCATGGTCCACAACGTACCCGGAAATAGGGGGCAACTGATAGGGAAAAATAACCCTAGCCTATCTTGACTTAACGAAAAAGATAATTAAATATTGACCGGCCACCAGATTTCTTCAACTCTCAGGCGATAATATCTCATTATCAAGGATAACCATTTCTACTAGATAAAAATGATGACAAATCGTATCAAGGATAGGATTTGTCATGGGGTAAGTTCAAATCTTATCAAGGATAAGATTTCCACGAGATAGGCTCCTAAGGACGATAAAATTCCCTTATCAAGAATAAGGAAAGTGACTATAAATACAAAAATGACTTAGGAACAAGGTACACACACAAAAATTCCTACTAAGCAAATTACGATTAAAATTCTCTATCGAGAACCCTTACTAACTTGATCGTCAGATGGTCAACGGATGGCACCACACCGGTATTTGACTTTGCCATTCTTATTTTGCAGGAAACGGTGTCGTACTAGACCGCGGCGAATTTCAACCTCAACAGGTACTACTGGGGAAGAAAATCTAATCTGTTGGGTTTTTTAAAGTCTAATATGTTGTTCTTGTTTCTGGGTTTGATTGATTTTGACTGACTGAGCAAAAAATCACCTTCTAGTTTTGTTTCACAGGTCGTGCCCACCTCAACCACTGCCGCAGACAGAAAGAAATTTTTTTATTTATTATTATTTTTTTAATCATACACTTTATGGAACATCACTGATGGTTAAAGCTTAGCTTATTGATTATCATAATTTCACTTTTAGTTCAAATAAAATTGAAGGTTTTTGAAATTTTAAATTTATATTTTTCAATATGCTGATATTTCTTGGAATTTATGTTTATTTTGCTAGATTGAACAGTTATTTAAGAAAATTTGGCTCATTTGAAACATATATATATATTACAATATTTTTTATATTGGAATCTCGTCGTCACAAAATTACTTGTTGAATGTATTAAGGTTCCACAAGTTTTCTGTTTGGGTAGTTAAAAGAAAAATATATCTGCAATTCAAGTAGGCCAGATATCTTTGTCCAAAAAAAGAGTATAATTGTCTACAAAATTCCTAAAGTTATTTGGATATGAATAAAATTCAGCTTTGCGGTTATTATAAACAACTTACTGATTCTTGGTTTCACTGCTTCTGTTCAAAGTCTGTTGCCATTTTAACTCTAATCCAACTGATGTATCCCAAAATACTTTTTGCCATCTGTGAGGCATTGACATCAGATACCTCGCCGCCGATGAGCTTGTAGGCTGAGATACAGAAAACCGGTGAGACGCGCTTGTCGCCGGAAAGGAGATTGGTCAGATTGTTGTGCCGGTGAAGTTGTTGCCAGAAAGTAGATTGGTCAGATTGTTGTGCGGGTGAAGTTGTTGTCGGAGAAGATTTATATTGGAAAAATATGAGGGAATCTGACCGGAAAAGTGGTTGGCATGAAGATTGAAGGTTAAGGACTCGGAGCTAAGTCAATTTTCTGATTGTGTTGGGTGAAGAACGGATCGAATCGCATCTGGGTTTAGCTTGTTGGGCAGGTTTGTTGAATCTATGAGCAATTCCCAATTGTCTAGCTTGAGAATGATTGAGATTTCACCAATTGTGACCTTATTCGGAGCAAAATCGCAAGAATTGAGAAAGAATTCACCCTCTTGTTGACAGTCTCGGAAAAGAACGACATATATATCAGAACACTCCAGGTTCAAGTGTTCCTAGGTGTCTTTCGTTGTATGACTTCCGCGTTATATACTCTTTTACTTAGAGCTTAAATTTAGGATTCATTGTATTCTGCATTCAGTTCGTTAGTGTGTCTTAAGGTTAAATCATTTAGTTTTGTTAGCAAATGGTAGGACACCGATTTGAAAGGTATTGGAGAAGGCAAGAGCGTAGGTGCCAGGATTGTTTGCTAAATCAGTGTATAGGAAGACAATATTTATTATGAAAACTGATTGAATGGCATAGACTATGAAGGTTGATAGTTTATGTTCATATAGTAAACACATGTGCGAGATAGAGTAGCTAACTGAATTGTGGGATGTTAGTACTTCTACACTCAGTATTGTTCAGGGAGGATGAACGTAGTTGTAGATATTCTCAAACGTCAATACAATATAAAATGGTTAGTTTATTGAGAAGTTATTTCGTTTAAGTATAGTGGTAAAGCTGGTACACTTGCTATTACTCATCAGGAAACTATAAGTCAACTTTGAAATAAGGAGTTGACTTTCGAATGAATTGTTTTTACTCAGTAGAATCCGATAGGGTATGGCTTATAAGGAATGACTAATAGGTATTCGTGATAATTTTAAGGAAAGTCGTGTTGACTGAGGAACTTAATTCTCAGTTTTCGATTATTCAAGAATGCAAGAGCAAATCATGGAGTTAATGGAACCACTTCATATACCAAAGTGGATACAAGAGGGTACTTTTATGCAATAGCATATGGGAGTATTAACGTTGTGATGAGATTTTTTTTTATTTCCATATGGGTCATAAATGATAGTTTCACCAAGATTGGTTGAGAGCATTAAATCAAGCTTTCGGAGTTAACTATTGGTATGGTATTGCTTGAGGATTTGTATGGACGATCTTTTAAGATTTTGCATTTGTGCATCGTTATTTAATCGAGTTGAATTATGAGTCCTACATTAATTAAGGGCATATTTATGGAGATTATTATTATTTTTTTTTAGAGATCTTATGTGCACTGCAAAAAGGGGCGAAATCATTGAGATATCGTAAACTCGGATATTCGAGTTCGAATATGGGAAGCGGGTCAATCTCTAAAGCATTGTTCCGTGAATGGTCTAACGTGGTGTAGCAATATAGATGAGGTTATTACCTCATTATATGGGTTATTCCTATTTTGTTTGAGTAGGAAATTGTCTATTGTTGGCAAGGATATAAATATGTATTTTGCACCATGTGTGTAAAGGAGTTTTTTTATATGTTTTACTGCAAGAAATTACAGCAATGGGACATTTTCCCAACACATATAAGTTGGGGAGATTATGTTGCAAATAAATGCAACAAGTATGGATTAGCTTAGTATAGTCTTATTAACTTTCGAGATATGTATGCTAATTAGGAGTAGGTGTGGATGGGTTAATTTCACACAGAAAAAGGAAAAATGAAATTGAAATTAAATAATCAAAGTTTTCATTTCATAGATTCGTGAATTCCGAGGACGGAATTCTTTTTGTTAGGGGGGAAGAATGTAATACCCCAATATTTTAAAGGATTTATTAATTAGGATTAATTACTTTTATTTGATTCAATTTGAATTAATTGCTTTTATTTTATTTTTAAATGATTTGTTTTATTTAATGGAGTGTTATGGTCAATGGTCTTATTTTTATTAAATTATATTTCGTGATTATATTTGATGAATTGGTGTGTTGGTTTGCTTTATGAGAATGTCATGATTGTGTTGTTTTAAGTTGCTTATTTGACTACGTGTGATTTTTATGCTAGTGTGATTTTATTGTGAATTAATTGTAATTAGTTATTTTAATTTACGTGTTTATTTAATTATTTGATTTATTTAAATTAATTGGATTTGGGCTTAAGGGAAGTTGGACCAAAGGATATGGTCTTGGGCTTGAAGGAGGCCTTATTAGGTTAATTAATAAGGCCCATGGTTATTTAATTATTTAAATGATCATTTTTGTATTAATTATAAAAATATAAAATTATATATAAATATAATTAATTAATAATTGTTAGGAAAAAATATATAGATAGATATATATTTATGGATATATATAGGTTTATATGATTTAATTAACTAATGGTTAATTATGGAAGATAAATATATATATGTGTGTAATATAATATATGTTTATATATATTATACTATTTAAAGGTTATTATCTTATTAGGTAGTCCTAGTTGGAATAGGATTTAGGGTTTAATATGTATAAATATACACATAAGGTTTAGGGTTAAAAAGGTTGGTACGTTAGAAAAATAAGAGAGATAGAGAAAGAAAGAGAAGGGAAAGCTGACAAGGAGTAGGCCGGATCTGAGAAATATGATGCCGAAATTTAAAGAGACAATTAAAACTTGAAGCGTCGGTTTCGTTCGAAACCTTCAGGCAAGTTCTTTCTAACTCTCCTCTCAGGACCCATAAGTTTATCACATTGAGTATCAATGTTAGATTAAATTTATTTATTTAAAATCATGATTAGATCGGAATAAACTAAAAGCATAAATTATTATATTTTTATTTTTGAATTATTGGACTTTAATTGATATATATAGGTGTTGTATATATATTTTACAATCAATATATAGGTTAATCTGTGACCCAAGACGAGTAATTAGGGTTTGTAGAATTTCTAGGATTTTTCTAGAATTTTCTGGAATTTTTATGAAATTTTCTGGATTGTGTTTATATATATATTTTTTATAATTATTATAATTATTTATAATTAATCTGGGTATAATTATATATATAAACTGTTATATATATACGCTGATGGCTACTGTGCATCGGCGCATCAACATAGGGTTTTAATCTGGTGCGGCGCGTCGCATTGTATTACTGTGCGTGCGTATCATGAAGGGTTGAGATGATTTGATAAAGTAGCAGATGATTTGATGATGGTGCGACACATGATAATATGGTGCACCTGCTGATCTGGGCCGTTGGGTGGAGTGGATGAGTGGAGGATGATCCAGTGCTTTGCGGAGCATGGAGATTTGATGCGCGCATGCATCAAGGCCGTGGATGAGGTTTGACTAATAAAAGATTGATCTGGTGTGGGCGAGTGCACCAGAGCGTAAAGGGCAACCAATCAGAAGCAGCCACACACGATCCGAGAGTGGATCACGCGTGTGAGGGCGCGTGGTAGCTCCTGAACGCGTCTGCCAACTAGTAAAAGCGCGTGGAGGCGCGTGCAATGGTGTTTGAGGTCCCAAAAAGTTTCTGTGTGGTCCGGTGACGTTCCAAAATTTATTTTAAGCTTGTTAGGGTTGAAACCAACCTTTAGAGGAGGTGTTCTTGGTATTCTAAGAGCCATAGAGTATGACTAAGAATTTAGTAGCCTTTAATTTGCGTAAATATAATAAATTAATGATTTATTACAGAAGGAAGTGTATATATATATTTAATTATATATATGTATATATGGTTTATTTAATTTGTGATTAGTATAGAAAGGAGTTTATATATATATATATATACACACACACACACACACACACATTATGGTAGGTATTATACACATACATTATATAATATATGTGTATATGTATATATATTATTAATTAATATCAATTATTCTTATTTAATAGGTATATCTGGAAATGTTGGTTTTTAAATTAATAATATGCGTATAATATGCATGAGATGGCTATATATGATTTAGCGTATGACTAAGTTTAAAGTTGATTCATGGTTAAAGTGCAGACATGGATAAATTGCCAAAGGGTTAAATATATTACCAAAATATTTGTATAAATAAAATACATACATAGGAAGTATGGATGAGTTACTAATTAAAAGTATAAATGAATATACTTGTGGAGGCATGGTTGAATTGCCAATGTATAACTAAACATACTTAAGGAGGTATGGTTGAGTTGCCGATATATAAATAAATATATTTATAATGGCATGGCTGATTTGCCAAAGTTTAATTATATTGTTGTGTGTTAGATGATTAAAATATATTGTCTATGATTACTGTTTGTGTAAGTTGGATTAAGATTAGATATTCTTAAAGTAGAATAGTCTAGTACTTACAGGTCAGTGTATTATTTTATACAAATTAATAAAATAATACTGGTAGTGACATGGATGATTTGTCAAAGTCTAGATATTGATTGTGTGATTTAAATACTTAAAATCATTATTGGTTTTGGAAGTAAATATAATGTTCTTTTAATTATATTTTATGGTTTAAATTATTAAATTGTTATCTAGGATGGAGTTAAGGTTAAATGAGTTTCTTTAAAAGAAATTGTGGATTGGACTAGGTATGATTATTAATTAATCATTGATAATGGTTCTGTAATTAATGAACTTGGTAATAGTTGTGATAGTTATATTGTATATAATTATGTACATTAAAGATAAAGAATTTATTAGGCTTGGTTTTGATCAGAGATGATTTATTTATTGGTTTTCAGAGGTCTGGTAGAGAGAACTTGCTCGTAGGGTTTAACTAGCGATTTATTTTTTAGGTTATTAGAAGTTCAAGTCTCAAGGTTGAGGATCCGCAACTGAATGACTTATCCATTCTTTCTTCTTATTTCAATGTAGGATATTTTCTTATTGTTAGATAATGAATTTTATTTAGAGATCATTGGATTATTGGATTATGTTATCAGGGGTCTTTGATTTACGGGATTCTCGAGTTGTAACTTTTGGAGAATTATTAATGAAATTTTTATTTAATAAAATTTCCTTCAGCAAATTATTTATTATTTTTATTTCTTTTTGTACACATAGGGTATTTCTTTCTTCTTCTTCTTTTTTTTTTTTTTTTTTTTTTTTCACAATTCACAAGGGTATTTCAATAATTTAAAATAACAATTTAAGGGCACTTTAGTAATTTTGACAGATCTATTAGTGTATTTAACAGTCCGTGACACATAAGGGAGGTCCGTGTAGGATATTTTCAAAAGTAGGGGAGGTCCGGGTAATTTCCAGAACAGAAAGGGTGCCGCAGATAATTATGACAAACCATAAGGGAGTTCTGTGTAAATTACCCAAAAATATTTTACTAATTCAGACATTTATGCCAATAAGTATTCAACTTATCA